GAGAGAGAGAGAGAGAGAGAGAGAGAGAGAGCGCGCGCGCGCGCCTCCTTTGTATATGCTCCAGTAATATACATACATGTATATATTCTATCCATAGGATCAGTTAACACCAGTGAAATACCAGGCAGATATCGGAGAGGCTGCAACAAAACCCAAGGAATGACAGAGGGTATCTCACAGAACTTGAGGATTGGGAAAGAGAAGCTTTCACCATCAATGCAGAACACTGTTCCCTGCACATCTCCAAGTTATGGAACACAATTGCTTAAGCAGTAGCTGCAAAACGTTTTGTTTGGAAGGGAGAAAGAAAACACACAGTGTACATCACCATCTTCTTGACTGAGAATGCAAGTTCCCTCTATTTTGAAAGCAGCAACTGGGACTCCCTCATGGTCAAACATCCCTACATGAAGGGCCTCTGCCTATCACTCCACACAGTGAAGAGATCTTTTCCTGTACTATGCAATGAACATCATACAAACCAATCGACATGCTAGCTACACTTAAAATCTGCCCATCTTGTAAGCGCTGTAACAGGATTCCTGCACTACCATGGCTTTTAATAGCACCGTAGTTAAAGTTTTGATTCACAGCTTCTCCCCTCACAACTCCAACATCACATTTTGCTAACAAATCATAATATATCCCCTACCAATTGCTGCTAATGAGACAAAGTTCATTATAAACACCACCTTTGCTTGCTGCTGTTGCACTTTCCCACTTGAAAAAGGAAGAAGCAAGATCTCAGCAGCTGCTCCCAACCATCACTTCAGCTGCAAGTGCTTAAAGGAGGATTTACCCTTTTGTTCTCAGCTTTCTTCCACAGATGAAACAGCCTTACCCCTGGAGCACCTTTACAAAGAGGCTTTGAATAGGTAATTAAGAGCACCTGCTTCATTCTTCCAGGTGGTCTGACAGCATTAATTTAGGAGTATTGCAGCACCATGTCCAGAGCCCAGCAAACTTAACTCCCTCCTACTACTGGGACTGTAACACAAGCATGTTCCAGGCACCCCAACCACCTACAGATAGTTTTGGTGGGGGAGTCCCTCTGCCTCTACCCACGCTGTGATACTTGTGGTATTCACTTCCCCTATCTCTTCTTATCTAGACCAGGACGGTACTGTCTCTCTCAGACAGAAATTAGGGCAAAAGGCAAGGCCAGCGCAGCCCCAGAAAGTGGGCATTCTCCTTTTTCTCACATCGCAGCTCTATGCTGTCCCAGGGCCAGGTACACACAAGTGGCTTGGGTTAGCACACAGAAGTTATCTTCTTTGCTCCACCTTCAGAGGAGTGTTTCCCCCAACTTGAAGTTAAAGGTTGCAACACTCAACAGAGCCACACCCTCTTTCAAGGTAACAAACTACTTCAAGTAGCCCTCAAGTTTTAAACTTTTTCCTTCCCTTTTTACTTTCCCCCCCTTAGGCTTCAGGGCAACTCTCATTACCTTCAATTCATGCAGTCCCGCTGCAGGAAGCCACCCAGGACTGTCCTCCATAGCCAGTTCCTCCGTAAGGAGGCTCGATGAGAGGGAAGATAGAGCTCAGACCCTCACAGCACCACGCGGTGCCCTCAGAACCCCACACGAGCACCACAAAACCAATGGCTGCTCGGCGACCGTTAACAGTCGCATGCTACTTAAGCCCTACAAGACGCAGACGCGGCACGAGAGCAACAGCTGCTCGGCGACCGTTAACGGCCGCGTGCTATTTAAGCCCTGCGGGGCGCACGCGCGGCGCGAGACTAACGGCTGCTCGGCGACCGTTAACGGTCGCGCGGCGCTTCAAGCCCGCGCGCGCCCCCTGAGGGCGGGGCGGGGCCCTAACGAGGGAGCCCTGGGGCAATGAGCTCAGCCCGCGACAAACGGGTGGCTCGGGGCACCGGCGACAAGTCCCCGAGTAATTCATCTATAAGCTGTAAAAAAACAGCTTTTTGGTCAAGAAGCAGCAGGGCTAGTAAGTGCACCGGGCACTTAAACTGCTCTGAGCTTTCCTGGCAAGTCTGTGGGCATGTGGCACCCATGTGCAGTGACGGAAACACTGCGTTGCAAAGAGCAGCACATACACACCCGTTAGATGACAAGCGATTTTATTTTGCAAAACAATCACTATACAGCAACAAATACAATTGCAAATTGGATTGAAAAACATGAACTACCTACCACCAGCCATTCAAGAAACGCCTCTTTTATGGTAACAGGCTCTAGAATTATCAGAAAAAAAACACAGGTTTGTAACAGCAGACTGTATTCCTCAAAATCCCAGCGTACAGCATGTTTGTCAGCTTTTTCTCTTTGCTAAAGTTGAAGTGGTTTTTGCGTTTGGCTTTTCCACGCGTGAAACAAACTCACCTTCCTGCAATGGGAATTGCGGGAGCTGCAAGGGCATTTGCTTTAGCAGCTGTGCCAGGAGCGAGCGCTGTGCACACCTACGCTAAAATCCTATCTGCTCTGGGTCCCATCGCAAAAGCGACCTACTCTTCCCGGCAGATGCCGGTGAAGGGACGTTTGCACTTGGTTTTCAAACGGTATTTGGTCCAGCATGGCAAAAACTTCTGCTCACGTGTGGTAATTCCACACTGGCTGCCTCGCGACAACCTGCAGGTCGCGTGTATAGGCAAATTTCTATATGTAAGCAGCCACGATGAGGTTACTACTGTATTTTAATGTAGCGCTAAATGGTAATACCATTTGCTGCTGTACAGCGAAAATCTACATAGCCCAAGTAGGCAAAAAATTATCCTCATCAAGAGTTTTACCTTTATTGTTGCTGGACGAAGCTTTGCTCTGCTTTGATTTCTTTTGGCTTGTGGTTACGTAGAAAGAGAACTCGGCAGATGGGGCAGAAGCGCCGCTGCTCTTGTCTGCACAGCCTGCCAGACAGCAATGACTTGAGGCTCTCCCCATGCTATCCAAATGGGGCTGCCTGGCCCATCTGTCCTGCAGATTCTCCCTGCACTGTTACAAAGCCGGGTCTCAGGTACCCGGTATCCTGCAGAAAAGAAACACAACGGATGCAGTTTCCGGGAAGCTGGCTCTACTTTTAGTGGGCATTACGTATTTACAAAACCGTCATTTTTCAAAACCAACACGCTTCTTGAGAAATAAAGATTAATAAGAGCTTTTTCAGTGAACATCTAGAGTCATGTAACATAACTTGCTTATTTATTTATTTAACAGCACAAAACTCTTGATTTCTTTTATCTTCATCTAACTCCACAGCACTCTAGGATTCTTTCTATGGAAGGATGATTACGAGTACAAAGGTCTTTGCTTGAACCAGGACAAGAAAGCTCATTTTAATGCATGAAATAAATGATTTGGTGCGTTACACCTATCTAACTTCAGACTTGGTAGGTGTGTTAACTAAGCATCATCATCTAGAGTACGTCAATCTCAAAAGCAGAATAAAAACACTTGAGTCACAGGTTAACGCTGTTCTAACTGGCTGGTGTCCAGCTTCGGAGAAGCTGATGTTCAGGAGTACCACAGACTCTCCCATGTTGGCAAAAGGCATTAAAAAAAAAAACACTGCAAGGCTAATTTTTGCTAGTTGATGGTATGACCAGAGCAACATGATCAATTTTTTTTTTTTTTTTTTAATTTCTGTTTTTGTTTTGGTTTTCTGGAACAATGGAAAGGGGTTTGTGATGCCCCTCACCTGCCACTGTTTTCCACATGAACTCCTAGGCAGTTACTCTAAGCAAGAGTAGAGCAAACACAAGGCAGAAATCATTATCTTTCAGACATGCTTAGCATAGCTCTAGACTCACCGTCCTTCATATGAAACGACTCACAGACAGTACTAGGAATCTTAAGAGTGTGAAAAAAGCTTCCCCCCCCCCCCCCCCCCCCCCCAAGCTGAAATGTCATGTGTGGGGCTATTTGGACTTTATCTTCAGCAAAAATTTGGGGGTTTTAACCACTTTGTCTTCATACCGCTGTGACAGCTTAGCTAAAAGTCCCACTCATTCCACTGAAGACCTACTGTTTAGTAACTGTGCATTTGCTACCTGAATCCTGTGCTATTAATTATAAGAATCCTTCTCCACAGACATAAAAATCTTCTCTATGCATCTTTTCAGATCAAACCCCAACACACACACGCGCATACGTACAAATTAAGTAGCAAAAAGAACAGATCAAAGGCTTCCAACACACAATGTTAACCTAATACATGGATCAAGTATAGCTCAACTGACAGTGCAAAGCTTAGAGGTTTCAAAAAGAAAAGATCAAACAATCTGCAAGAATGTAAACTGGTCATTTCATAATGTCTACTGTACATAATATCAGCAGATTACTAGCTGCTGATGAGTAATACTACCATATAACCCTCAGCGTTCTCTTAGTGTCCACGAGACAGTGTTGGAGTTCCCACAGGTAACTCCACTTCATTTGATGTTTATATTATCTCTGCCCTTTACCTTTTACGCACACTTTTATCTTATACTTTTTATAGTCAATATAAACCCCATTTCTTTGTTCAGTTTTTAAGATGCCCTTTTTATTGATAAATCCCCACAGCAACCCAGGAGCTTTATTTATTCATGTGCTATAATTTATAGGCATCTCTATTACGCTTATCACTGTTATTTGAGTGCCCGGGTGTCTATGTAAGACATCACTGAAGGAGTGGAACAACACTGTAATACTTCTTTTTTTCCTGTGTTTCAACTTTAGCAAAAGAAAAAAATAAATAAATAAATCTAACACACACTGTTACTACAGGAGTCTTTTTTTTTGTTTGCTTGTTTTTTTTTTAAAAAAAAAAAAAAAAAAAAAAAGCCCAAACAACTATTTTGGATTTTTATAAAATCCAGAATCCGAAACCAACCATCTTTGGAGACCCTCTTACAAGCTTCTGGATCCCACAAAAGCCATTCTCAGTGAAGAAAGGGAGGGAGGGAGGAGAGGAAGGAAGGAATCTTTTTTTCTAGCATCACAGAAGAAAGAGACTTGCATCTGGCACTAAAACAGGGTCACGGCTTTTAGTTGTTACAGAAAGCAACTTCATGCTAAAAGTTTTTGTCTTTTTTAAATGTATTCTTATGAATAGGGAAAAAAACCCTGCTAACATCTACTTTTACATACCTAAAATTGCAACACCAAAGGGTGCAAGAGACACAGATACTGTGAATAAAGTAGAATATTCAAGTATATGAGGAGGGTGTATCACAAATGGCCACAAAGAAATATATATATCTATAATACTGTATCAAACAGATGGAAAGGGTGTGAAACCGGTAGTGCGCACACACATCTAGCCGCTTAACCAACATTCTACTCAGACACAAGTCCATTGGGGTGGAAGTGCTTCCTTTCGACAGCTTTTTTTAAGTCACTTCCCCAAACATGGTTCAAGTGTTTTTCAACTACTATTTTTAGTTATTAGTTAAATAATTTATTGGCTTTTCAGCTATACACTGACATAATTACCCAGGCCCAAAAAAAAGGTTAATAACTTAGTTCAACTTTTGTTCTACTCATTTATACAAAATAACTTTTTTTTTTTTTTTTTTTTGTTTTAAGTTAAACTTGAATTTCTCTATATGCCCGACCTTCTGGTAAGCAGACTCTTAATTTAACCTGTAATAACTTACAATGGGCAACTTTTTCATTTTTTATTTTCCCATCTATCAAGAGAACAGCAAAATGAGCAACTTGGGATATTAACAAGGCTCTTCAGAAAGAGGTGGATGGCCCTCAGGCACATGAAAGGTAAAAATGCATTTTATCATAGTACAGTACTCCATGCAAGACAGAGCAGAGCAACAATAATTGTCCAATGTAACATACTGCAGTTGTATACCCATATAAAGCCAGTGTCTTCCTGTTGGAAATGGAGATTAGGCCAATTTCTGCCTCTATTTAATTTTTTTTTTCTTTTTTTTTTTTTTATTGTATGTTAACTACAAGTCTTGGGATATGACTTAGTTTTAGACATGGTAAAGGATGAATGCAACACCTGCTCTGAGCCCATTCCTGCCAAGAGCTCATGCCTAAATATTATTACTTCATACACCGCGCAAGGGAGCAGATTCATAAGCCCTGCTTAGCGAGGGCGGCCGTGACGTCTTCGGCGAGGGTGGCGAGCTGGGGCGACTCGAGCAGGTTGATGCTCCCGGAGGACGAGACGTTGCTGAGCCTGCGTGGCGAGGCCACGCTGGACCTGCCCGGGGACTGTGTGATGATCTCGGCGCCGTGGTCCACGCGGGCCTTCGCGTGCTCTCTGAAGTTTAGCTTCTGGCTATCGATCTGTTCCGGGAAAGTAAAGAATTTAACACGGTACGGGAGGGGAGTTGTAGAAAAGCCCTCACTGATGGGGTGCTCAGTGGCAGCTTACTACAGCCATGATCACCCCAGCTTTCCTTTCCAAGGCCAATCTTCCTTTCCTTTGGATGAACTGATCCTGAATAGTGCTCTTCTTCCCTAAACTGGCTGCTCAGCACCTGCCTCAGCAGTCAGGCAGCTCAGATCTTTTGGTCTGGGCCCAGAAATCACCATTATTTTCCTTTTAAAGAAGCCATTATTAGTTGGATGCATCATCCACGCAGTATAATGCCTTGTATTCCAATGTACCATTCCCAGCAGTTATAGCTAAGTTCAAGATTCACAGTGCACCAAGTTAATTTAGACATCTAAGAAAGCATCTCCCACTGACCTTCAGTGACATCTGAGTTCTTGACTTCTTTATACAGAACTGAAAGCCTCCCTTCAGCTTTCCTCTCTCTACTGAATGTTGCTGGAATACATTATACATTCACTAAAATCACTTGTTACAGAACATCTTTTGGGTGTGGCTTTCTTTTAAGAACTCTTAAACATATCAAAGCTTAGGAATTTCACCCTGTATAATGTGCACTGGCTTATTAATGTGTTTTGACTATGTTACATCCTCTCTTATTGCTTCTGCCTTTGGGCGTTTTCCCCGAGGATTGTTCTGTTACCTTGACATTACCACCTCCAGGTACATGGTGGGCATTTTCGAGGGAACCAACTTTAGCCTGCGCCTTTTCTTTGAAATCCAGTTTCACACTTTCAATTTTCACACGTCCACCACCTACACAAAGACAGGATATAAGGATTAACAGCTGAAATCTCTCAGGAGAAAACCTGACACAATACACACAGCTGCATTCATATTAACTCAGTTGAGATGTAATGAGGTTAGAGAAGCACCGAATACCATGCCCAATATTGCAGAAAATACAAAATCCTTGACACATATTCAAACTTTAAGTACGTGTTTTAGTCCTACTGACTTTGATGTGATTTACAGGCACATAAGTACTTTGCTGACTTCTGCCTGCATTTTACCATCTTATTAATCTGACATTATGCCCCAACATCCTTCTGTGTCATATTTTATCTCATTTCTTAACTGGTGGTCCTACCCACTTACATCTTCATATAGTTAGGCAAGTAAAATTAAGAGTATTATTTCTAATATCAAAGTGTAATTACTTTCTTTTGGACTACAAAAGTAAACAGTACCATCCATGCTTTCTCTTCCACATATAAGGAGTGGATTCTGCTTTGTCACATCCCATAAAATCCTACATTACCTGGCTTGTGGTGGATGTTCTTGAGGGAGCCACACTTGGAAGTCACATGACTCAAATCTATCTTCTTGGTTACAATCTGTACCTGTCAAAATCACACACAAAACACAACAAAAATTACAGGAATGAAAACAATAAAATAAGTAAAAGGCCAAGCCCATCAGAGAAACAGCCAAAGTCCCTACAAGCCACTGGAAAAGGAGAGATGGTTAGTGGAAGAGAGACCATGCCACAAGGGAGGAAACACCTGGATTAATGCAACAAGCTTCCTTTCCACCTAAGATGATGATAGAGCAAGGTCAAGTTTTTCCATTAGTAAAATGTAGAGGAGGATGAAGCAGATTGAGTTGTGAGCCCTTTTCTAAAATGTCTGTGAGCTGTCCCCTGGAGGTGATGATTTCCAAAGCTCTGCTTGCAGCAGCATCCAGCCCGCTTGCTCCTGCTTCTCCACGTGCCTCTGGGGAACAAGGAACAGCCTGGTGGCTGCTTCTTTCCTACCATCTGTTTCATATTTCTTTCCTCCATCTCAGGACGGCACAAATTTTCAGCTCAATCCACTGAGAGCCTTCCCCGTTACTGCATTTGCCGCTGCTGCGTTAGCTCCTCCAAGCCTGGTAAAGCAGCTCACTGCACATGGTCGGCGCTGGCATGCGAGAGGGGACTGCTTCCATCAGAGGGCTCAGAGCCACCTTGAACCATTCTGACATGACTGCTGGTGCTGATCAAACCCTGGGCAGCCTCTCTTCATTCTTCTGGAGTATTAACATGCAGGAGATAAATCAGCACTCAGTACACCAGCAGATCACATCCCCTCTCTCAGTTGGTTTTGTCCTTCTGTTTTATTTCTCTTTTTTCCCCCTCTCTGACAACCACACGTAACTAACAAGATTAGCTGAGGCAAGACTGTGACACTAGGAGATGCCCAGCTGTGCAGCTGGACTCTCTACAGGATAATTTATATTTTTTAACTTTCTGGAAACGACTTCCAATGGCTGCTGAACCACCTTGGCTCCTGCTGTGCTTCTGCCGTCAGCATCCTTGGGTCTTATACACAACCATTCTTGTCCCGCCTCCTTTCCCTGGCCAGGTCCTAGAGGTGGGCTATGCTCTGTGGAGAAGGATCAGAGGGCCCCCGCTGCAAACACAGGACTAACACAACCACCAGACCAGACTCACATGTGACACAGTAGCAAGGAGGAAAATAGTGCTCAGAGGAAGGGAGACGAGAGGGCGGCCAGCTGTGCAAGGTGCTCACCACGGTGCAGGTGCCTGTTCATAGCACGTCTGTACTACTTACATTTCCTCCCCCTGCAGAATGTTTGATGTTATCTCTGGAACCACAGCGGGACTGAATATCACTAAAATCGATCTTCTTGTTTAAAATCCTAACCTAAAAGGAATCGGAGGTAACTTACTATTCACCATACACACACACACACACACACACACACACACACACCCCAAGCACAGTGCGGGATAAGGGATCAAGGCACTTTTGTCTCCCGCTGTGACTCCTTTTAACATTTGCATTGAAATATGAGAAAGAAAATCATGCCAGTGTCTCTATTAAATGCAATATGTTGCTCTTTTTTGCTAGCTCATGAGGTGGCGGTGAAATACAAAGGGGAACACTGGAACAACAGTACTGAAAACCTGTAGCTGCTGGGTGACACACACCTGGACTCCTCTGGGGCACAGGGAGGCGACTGTGCTCATCTCAGCTGTATGTAAAGGCTCTTCTGCCTCCACCTGCTTTCCCTGCACCAGGAGCTTGCCCTCACTCAAGACCTGCAGCCAGTGCAGCATATTCACTCCTCTAGGTTAAATACCAAGTCCTTATGCAAGTGTTATGGTGGATTTTCTTCATCCCTATGCTACTAATATGCAATGCAAGTTTACACCGTTTTTTTCCCAGATAAGTCATATAATTTTAGGCATTATGCATTCATTTTACTAAATGGCATTTCAAGAGTTTTCACTAACATACACTTAGCACAGTTCTGTTGGCAGATATTGAAGGTAAACCTAACTGATAATTGAGAAGAGAGAGATCAGATCTGCAGGTACCTTCTGGCTTTTTTTTCTTTTTTTTTTCACCACACCAGTAACACAAATCAGCTCCAAACCAGCTGAAACCGTCAGTGAGAGAAGAAGAACCTTACGAGGCCTCTGCTTCCTGGCTTCAGTTTCCCACACTGACCAAGGCTCTTTGCTAAACATGAGGCAAAATGCTTCCTCTGCGCCTCCCCTCTCCAAACTATTTGCCCACCTTACAGGGAGATCGGGATTTGGAGCTCCTTGCTCTTGCAGTGGTGCTAGCATCACATTCAACAAGCACAGGTGCGCTCACCCATCAAGCTCAGTCTAAACTCCCAGAACAAATCTTCATACATTGCGGCTAAAGCAAAGAGGTTTTCCACAGCAAGGGGCTTCCTGGATCCCCCTCATCACAACCACTGCACCTGCCAAAACACGTAGGTGGTAAGTGCTCCCTCGCCTTAGCTGCAACAACCGGTGGCGACGGCCACCTCAGCAGCAAAGGTGGCATCAGGGCCCTCCTGATGGAGGGACTCGCTCCTGATGGGACTCCGATGGGTCCCATCCAGCCCTTCAGGAGGCCATCAGTGCTGCTCAACCTGCTTCTGTCTTTCTCGTTCCATCTGCTTAGCCCATCCAACTCAAGCCAACTGAAACATGAAAGCCAGCAGCCTTTGGAGTTTTATGTTTGTGCTTTATCTCAAATACTGTCTGCTTAAATGACGTGCCCCAGCGCTACACAGGACAGGTGTCACATCAGTTAGGGAAATGCACATCAGATGTGCAGGCAGATCTGGTTCCCACAGAACTTTAAGCCAGACCACACGGGGCGAAACAGAAAGCTTTCCTAGCACTTTTTGAGCACATTTCAGTGACAGATCAGCTGCACCTCTTAGCAATAGCCACAGGGCTCCATTTGCTCTAAAAATGCTGACTTAGGGGGTCACGACAAGAACTTTGTGCTGTGGACTGGGCTTAAAAAGGAAGCCAAAGCAAGGTGATAAGTTGAGAGGATGCCTTTGATCAAGCACTCAATGGTTGATTTGCACCCAGAAGCCTGACCTGGCTAGCTGATATGTAATGGAACAATCATCTCAATTATCCTCTCTGTCTCACTGGGTGACATGTGCCCCTGTGTAGAGGGGTCAGCAGGAGACCTATGTATCACTTAAGTCCTGTGCTGAAGGCTGAAGTGGGATCTGAGTGATGTGGATGTGCTGTGCTAGTCATCTGGCATAGGGCTGAACTGGACTGATGATCCAGGTTCTCCTTCCGCTTCTTATCTGCTTCTTCCTCTCCTAGAAGGTGTCAGTGTCTCTGCACACAGATAGATCATAACTACCCTCTGTAGCTGGCTGCTCCATGCACTATTAAAGCCTAATAAATGAACTAATAAACCTGACTGTAAAAGTCAGAGGGAAAGTACCAGGGAGGGAAAGGGACTTTTTAAGCTAAAGAGCAACTGTAGCTTGCCAAGAGCGCAAACTGACGGTGCACAGCAAGGCCAGATGCATCCTAGAGGGAAACGTGTAACTCTCCAAGCAGGGAGGCTCTGCAGCAGCCTCCCTGGGGAGCAGAGCTACAACAAGAAAATGGAAAACGTTTAGGATGGCACTTTATGAAAGAAATGAGATGATACAGCTGCCTGCAACAGAGGGAGTGCAAACACCATGACTCACCAGGAAGGTCTCCATATTCCTGCATGTGTATGTACATCTTGTGTGGGGGTGGAGGTGTGGTGGGGTGTACGTATAGGCGCTGCAATTGCGCTGCACATTAAATGAAAGCCCAAGCCTGCTCATGCTCTCAGTCAACAAAGGGAATGTTTTGCTCCTGCACAGATCTATGGCCAGGCTCCCTCATGCTCTCTGGCCTGCCAGGCTGAGATGGGCCTAAGTTCCCTCCTACAGACCTGATTCTGGCTGACCATGGCATGTTGCACAGCAGCTGGAAGTCAGTTTTCTGCCCAGGAGCCAGGAGAGGTTCCTTACCTTGTGTTGTGCAGGGTAAAGTTTTTAATACTTGTCTTTAATACTTGCATGGGACAATGATGGCTGATTTATACCTCTCTCTGTGAAGAACTTACAAGCTTCTTTTTTTCCTGTTTACAAATTACTCTATTTGTCTAATTAATCAAAGTGGCCACATGGAACAAGGCATGTCCCTAATAATGAACAAAAAAGTAACTTAGCAGAACACAAAAGCAAATGGAGTGTTTGTTGAGGGCATCTCTGTTAAAGTCTTGTACTTCAAAGAAATTAAAATATTTAATTTGCATCCATTAACTAAATTCATATACATGTTATTAATTGTCCCAAATCTGTGTTAGAACATATTGTTTTCATGATTATTATGTACAAATAAACATTTGTTTCTCTCTCCAGAATTAACCACAGCAAGAGAAACTACTATGTCATGCTTAAACCTAACAGCTGGCTCAGTAAATCTTGTTCTGGTTATATAGATGTGGAAGAAACATTGAGAAGTTTTGCATAATTGTGCTGTGAAGTACAAAGCAAAACTGCTGCTTTTCATGCTGAAAAGCTTACAGCCAAGAGATGACAACAACAGACAGCTCAAGGAAATACAGAATCCCAGTCAGGTCAAATGTAACAAGTGTCGTGTTCTCATCACTAAGTGGAGGAATTCAATCCAAAAAATAATAAAAGAAACTGAAGAATATTCATGCATTACGTGTAAAAAAATGCTATGAGCACCATTAAATCAGCTAAAAAGCAAATTCCACGAATCCCAAAGGAAACAAACAAACAAGAAAGATGGATTTTGCCAAATTACAGGGTTTGATCCTGAAACATTAGCAGCAACACTCCATTCTCGTGGAAAGAGTATTACCAGCTTCAAATACAACCAAATAATAAAGTTTTCAAATCAGGCTGAACACTTTTAAGGAGGAATGAGTTCTGAATAATTAGGCCTACATTTTCTTTATTCCAGCATAATGGAGAAAATTAGATCATTCAGTTTGAGTTCAGAAAGTATCTTGTGTTTACCTCTTAGTGGAAAATGGCTTTCTCAAATTTCAATAGATCAGCAAGTCTTTTTCTTGTTAAAGTCTAAATTTCCAAAAAAAAAAAAAAAAAAAAAAAAAAAAAAAAAAAAAAAAAAAAAAAAAAACAAGGTTCCCTTTCTCTCCTACCTAACAAAATACACTTCTTTCTTCTCACCCTTCCATCCGAGACAGAACATCTATTATATGACTGCACAGCTCCGATCCAGACTGGGGGTTGCCTGAACGTTTTCCCTGTCAACCATTTCATTGCCAAAGGGCAGACTCCTCAGAGCTTAGCTGAAAATGCTCCCCTGCTGAACTTGAGGCTGGGATGAGCTGGGCTTTCACAAGGCTCTGCATCCTGGTAGTTCCAGTCTACTCCAGAAGAAAGTAGAACTTTCTCCATGATATTAATGAAAGACTAGTAACCAATATCATCCACTAAAACCTGGGATTAGTCTCTTCTAATTTTGGGGAAATGTTTAAGCTGTTTGCATAAGCTGCCCCTCTAGTCAGTGGAGAGATACTGGACCCCAGCTCCGAAAGGGCAAAACCTGATAACCTCTGACAACGAGTTTAGTTCCTCACTGACTTAAGAGACTTTGGCTGGAGCCGCTCTGCACGTCGTGGCCCTCCTGAGGAGCACCCATGTTTGCAGTCTGACCTCGGGCAACGTGACGCAGGTTGCACAGACTGCAGGGATGTTACCAGACACAGGGAAAGCAAAGATCCTATCTGGACAGCGAGTTCCAATTCCCTGTTCACTTCTACCAACCAAGCACCTTCCCCCATGACACATTCGGAAACCTGCTGAAGCCTGGCAGTGACTGCTTCATTCCTCTAAACTATGAGTCAGGAAGAAGGATCTTTTTGTTGAGAATAACTCGAGGTTTAACTGTGCAGGCTGTACTCAAGCAAGCCTTCCATTACATGAGTGGAATATGAACAGAGGAGCTGCAAGATGTTATATCTGTATAAACCTGCAATGACGAGCCAAAGTTCTAAATTTCAAAACCCTAAAAATTATGCTTTTTGAGCTGTGACAGTTTTGAAATTGTGCCAGCAATCCCCAACTTATCTTTCAATTATAGATCTGCATTGCAGGCACTTAAGGACATGGTTTAACAGGCATGGTGTTGATGTACTACTCTCTCCGCAGGCAAGGATGTAAATTGTGATATGTACGTGTGTGTGTTGTGTTGTCAAAGCAAAAGAACTGTGCAGAGAAGGAGATATCTACCCAAGCCTCCTCCTCTGCCCAATTCTGAGATGTCTTATCCATCCCTCTGCTGCTGTCTTTTAGTATCTAATGGAAGTACCAATTCTCTTTAGCCATCACCTATATATGCAGGTGCAGGACAAGTTCAACTGAGCATCAGTGTCATCAGTTTCTTCTGACCTTCTGCATGACCAAACACATTTTGTTTTCTACAATTTAGGGTAAACAGTGATTTTTTTTCTTCTCTGAATCTTCCTACAAGTCTTTGAGGGTCACTTTTTTCTCCACTATCACTTGGATATTTTGCTCTTCTATGGGCCATCTTATCCCTAACAAAGTGCCAGGCTGTTACAGCAGTTAGTGCTAGTTCACACCTGATCTATGAGTTGGCTTCTTGCTTAGTTCCTGGCCTCTGATGCTTTATAAATATTCTGCCTAGCTAGCAGTAAAAAAAGACCCAACTGGTGTGCTTTTGTACGCTGATATGGTATCAATATGGTACAAACCACATTCACAGGCAGAATTTCAAGAAGAAAAAAATCCCAACGTAATAAAACCCTCCAGTTCTGGCACCTGAAACAGATTTCCACCCCCAGCCCCTCAAATTTCCCCCATGCTTCCCTTGGGTTGTCTGAACAATAACAGATGCAACTGGGTTACTTGTGCTTTTGCAAGCACAGTGTTTCCTCCACAGCCGGTGCAGTGCTAAAATCCACCTGATGGCCAGCAGACCCAGCCACGAGCGAGGTGCTCCCGAGCTGTACCAGGAATATCTTTTTCACCATACCTTAAAGAGAAAGCCAGACAACTACGTACTGACCACATCTTACAGCAGAGAGCCCCTCACTTCTCCAGACTGCAGAATACCAATTAAATGCATCTCAAACCATCTATTATCTAGCAGGAACTTAGCGCAGGACAACTAAGGCGGAGCTAATTCCATCTATTGCCTGATGAGCTTTTGATGCAATCAAGGCTGTATTTCTTGATGTATTTAGCATTCAAACATTCCATGCTGCTTAGCTCTCCACCTCAGTCTCTGCAGTTTCTCAGTGCTGCTGTTTTTTCTGGGACAGCTGGAAGCTAAGAGGAGACCTTGTGCTAGGTTAAGATGCGCCTCCGGTGAAAGGACAGAGTGTCTCCAGATGACGCTTTTGGGTTGCATATCTGTGCTCTTCTAGCGACTTGCATGTCATGTTTATGTGTTTAACTTGCCCAGATATATACTGGCTTTTTGTCTGCTCGACATTCCTGTGGTTACTGCTATCAGCACTCCCAGTGCAGGCTGTAAAACTTGAGCAGCCTTCTGTTCATTTCATATATCATCACTAAAAGCAGATAGCAGATAACAGCTCATTTCAGCCGACAGTATTTGCCACCAGACAAGAAACAAGCAGACAAGGAAAATAAACTACCTTTCCTGCGCCCCTCTGGCAGACCCGCTAAAATTCAACCGCAGAAAAAGGGAAAGAACTAATCCTACAACCTCTTACCTCGACTGAGGTATGAAGGAGACCTAATGGAAGAGCTCAGTGAGTCTCTATTTGCCCCAGCCACAAGCCAGTGGCTACATAACACCGGGAATTAAAAACTGCTTTAGCTTCGCTGACCTCACTATGTGCACCCAGCACTTTTCCCATATTGGTCCTTAGTAAGGGTGAGATGCTGAGTGCTGAGTGCTTCACTGGCCAAGACCATGTGCAACTTTCCAAAACTGCTAAGGAAGTGCAGCTTTTGGGCCAGATGTTTACAAAGAAACAGAGTTTGCTGCGATCCTCTGGTCTCGTGCAGCTCCTACGATCCATGGGAAGTAACGGGAGGAAGCGGATGGGCCAACAAGACCCTGGTTTCCAGCCCCATCTGCAGCACCCAGGCGGGTTACGTTATGAGGACCATTAACCTTGATGCTTCCTTCCTAAGCCCCGTGAGCCCTGACAGGAACTCCTATGCACAGTCCTTACCCAGACACCAAAATAAAGGCGGAAGGGACCTTTGCTGAAGCGCTACCGTCCTGACTTTATCTGAATAACTGGCTACAGTCCAAAGCCTGGAAAGCACCGAGTGCGAAAATTCACAGTGAAAACAGCATCAATGCCTAAGATGGACCTTTCCAGAAAAGACAACTGTTCTCACTGCCACTGCTGTAATAACGAGGCAATCACAGCATCTAGGGGTGCATATGTGGACTGGGGAGACAGTGGTTACCTTGTGGTAGGGCTGTGGTCCAGAATCATATGAAATGCAGAAGATCTGAACTGATTTCTTTACCCTCACAACTGTGATTTCCCTGTTTTTCTAGCATAAATCTTGGTAAGCTATTTTCTCTTTCCTCATTCAGCCTCTCCGTTTCTAAATGAAAAAGGAATTTCTTTCAAGGTTATGAATGGTTTTCTAAGCATTAAAATATTAATAAAATGAACTACTTCATCCTATAAGCAAAAACAGCAGTTCTTTCATGCAGAAAGCTAGCTTGGACATAATTTGGGTAATGCCATCTATACGACCATGTGTGCAAAACAGAAACGATTACTCTAGGTCTGGCATTAGCTCTGCACAAGCAGAAACTTTTCAGGAACGTACAAATTTGATACCCTAGGGAGACAGAAAACGCTCCTTATCTGATCTTTCTTCACTCCCCAAAAGCTCAAGCTTAGCCTAAAAGCCTACATTTTTACTGTTCTTTCCGTTTGTGCTGTTTACAGTAATACATTTTGTTACTCTACACATATGTTGTTTCCTTAGATGAAGGCAGTCCTTAAGGTCATATGTTTCATGGCATAACTGTGCAAGGTATGTAGAACTACGTTCTTGGATATTTTCCAGCTTTCAATTGCATCAACTTCTCCTAAATTCTTGCGCACTCCCATAGCGAGAACAGAAAATTATAATCTGCCTTCTTACACATTCACCTTCCCTTATTTCATGTGCCTTCTCCAGTTTATAATTTCAGCCATTTTCTTGCTTATTCAAAACATGCAGCGAAAAAAACCCAGTTAAGTTTAACATCTATCTCCTGCCATCATCTTTAGCCTAGGGTAGATTTATCAGGCTGGAGGTTGCAACTCTCATTAACACCATGCAACACGAAGCACATAAGGTAACGCGACACAGAGAAGAGTCACCCTGCTGTGCAATCCTGCTCCCATTTATCTAGGTTGAATCTGAAACGGCTTTAAGCAGACAGAATCTCTTTGATTTGCTGGTAAGTGGAAGCTGCTAAGATTCAGGCTGAACGTATCTGTGGCAGGGAGTGCAAGCTTTTGATCTCAGTGAAGCACTGTTAATTTTCAGGTGACAAAATACTTTTATGAAGGTAATCCTTCCCGCTATCATTTATGACCGCTTAAAAAACACCCTATGTCTATGGCAGAGAGAACAGAAGCAGCGTTCACAAGGTAACTCAAGATGGCTCCTACCCCAGCACTGCAGTGCAGACATGAGCATATATCAAATATGGACAAATGTAAAGAGAGAAATCCTTACCTGCCCTCCTTTAGGTTGGTACTTGATATTATCTGTTGAACCGATTTTGGACCTGACATTCTTGAGGTCAGGTAGAGGCTGATTAATAACTCGTAGCTGCTTCGGAGTGGCTGGAGACTTGGGAGGAGTGCGAATGATGGCAATTTTTTTCTCAGTGGGTACCAGTATAGCAGACTTGGGGGTCCCAGGAGTGTGGGGGGTTCTGGAATAGCTTGGGGTCCCCGGAGTGCCTGGAGTACGCGAGGAGTAGCTAGGAGGGGTCCCTGGAGTGATGGCAGTGGAGCCAGGAGTGGTGGGGGTAGAAGTTCCACTTTTTCCTGTTCTGCTACGAATTGGCTCCGATCCTATATGCAAGAAAAAACAGAACAGCATTCATCATATGATCATGCTGCACCTCCCAAGAATATAACCCTGTGAGACACTACTCTAAGATGGTGCTGTCTGTGCTCACGCTGGCACAGCAGACTGGGTGTCTTACTTTGCTAGGCAAGCTAGATGAGTTACCTTGCCAAGAGCTACCTTGTCACCTGAGGTTGGGCTTGGAATGCACCCGAATGGTGACCAAGGCCCCTGTTCTGCAGCACAGATGTCCTCCCCCAAATGTCTGTGCTTCCTGCCTAGCTGACCAGACAGGACACTCATCCCTGAGTGCAGCACTCTGCACATGCCCTTATTGAACTCCATGACGTTAAAGTTCAATTATTCAATTAGTGCAGGGAAAGAAGGTAATTACCGAATGCAACCTGGATTAAAAGTTACCTTCAATTTATGTCTCCATGCAAGTTAAAAAAATACCGTAACATTTTGCATTGCCTCCCTTCACTGTCAGTGGCACTGCTAGTTAATTTTAGAATCAGTTTATTAATGGCATTATGCTTTCTGCAGCCAGCTTTGCTTGTAATTCTCTACAGCAAACAGAAGAGGCTGAGATCTCCACACAGTGTTTATAGCACTCAGAGAAGGAGCAAACCTACGCTTAACACCTGAGAACCTCAATGCTGAATGGTTGCATATAAGTGGTTCCAACATGAAAATGTTCAGAGATCATAAATCCAATGGACCTCTCTAGAGCATCCGAGGGGCTTATCAAAGTCCCATTCAAGCTAATTGGTAATTATTCTGCTTGCTTAACACTGATGGACTAAAGTCGATGCACTGCTGTTCCTGGGATCCATGAGAAACTCTGTACTACATGACACATGAAACAGACTGAACACATTCCATTTTCATCTCCAGTTTCCCTGAAGGATTTCTTTCTTTCCCAAACAACCCCAAACCAGACATAAACCTTCTCACTATATCAACAGTAATAGAAAGGGGTTGCAATTTTTTTCCCCAGATTCCCTGCCACTTTGGTATATTTGTATTTCATTGCTCAGTCCTTCCACCTTATTGACAGACTCTCAGTGGCCTCTTGCCAGTAGAACAGGCTGTTGTGCCCATCACTCTGGTCACTCTCCTTGAAAAGGGTCTCTGGTTTTACTTTTTGAGCATCAGCCAAAAATTTTAGGGGACTCTGTGGTAGGATTTTATCAACTACCTTCCTTTTCTTTTAAGCTTCTTTTAAGAAGGGCAGTAAGTGGTTTCTAAAAAGTCAAAGACAGAAAAATTTCCATGGGAGAGCAGGGAACCATGTCAGATCAAGGGGCTGAATGCAAATTAAGCTTGAAGTTTTGTGGTTATTTGGTAAAACTCTGTCTTGCAGTTTCTTTTAGCTTATGATTTAATAGAACTGGTCCTCACAAAAGCACCTTAGTGGTTAACTACCTTGATTTCTCCAATGAGCCATTCCACTAGCTAATATCTCCTTTGTGATTCTCCGACTAGAGAGCTTTTATCCACAGACCGGAGCATAGGGAGATCATTACAGTAAAACAGCAAATTAATGACTGTAACTATTAGGTTCAACATTTTCAGATCTATCAGAATGTTTTTATTGCTTATTGAGATCTGTCTCATTCTTGTGGTTGCTTATAAATATCCTGGGTTAAATATCTTACCAGTCCTGAAGTCCCTGCAAAGGTATTTTCTAGCATGGACTTTAAGTCTGAACCGCAGCCCTAACCCTGGGCTTTGTACAGTGTGGAAAACATGCCCTCCGTGTCTGGTTTTAAGACCTTGCTACCTAAACAGAAACAATCTGAGGCCCTCATTTCCACCACCACACCTCAGACCTACCCCCCAGTGCTGAGGGTTAGGGACACATGGTGTAACAACCATGGGACAGATTTCACAATGATGGGAAACAACCACAGTAGGGGAAGGTTAATAAGCAAAGAACATACGTGTAGTCCGTCGTACTGAAGATGAGAGGGAGGTCGTGAGGGAGAGAGAGTTCTCCTCTCTGTCTCGGTCTCCTGACAGTCCTCTTCGAGGAGGAAGGATAGAAGAAGGTCTTGGTAGAGAGGAACGCTTTTCTGGACTCTTGCTTACTCCATCCTAGTAGCAGCAAAATAGAGAAAGGAAGGTTCACTTTTCAAAACATCACTCTCTAGGTTGTGATTTCTCTCTATTAATAAGGCAAGAGCAAGCTTAATCCCAGGCACATTCACTACCCATGTAGAAAATTGTGAGGTTCCCATGCTCTGCTTAGCTCCCTGGCACTTCACCTCAGCCAAACGCCCAGCAGGAGAGGCCTGGCTGTGGTGCTCAAAGTGGTCAGAACTCTGATCCTCATGGGAGATATCCCTGCGACTTCCCCAAGGGAGGAATTCTCCAAATCTCACCCCCTAGTTTGAACAGCCCATATCCTCAAGATAAACTTTGCATTTGGTGCAGGCAAAACCTTTCATCTCCCACTGGTTTGACCACGCATGTATTAGTGACTGGTTTTTACTCTTACTGAAATAAAAGACAGAGCTCTCAGTGATCGCAGTGGATGATAGGGGACTACTACACTACTATATAAATCCCTGTGAAGCCAACATAGAGGTCTTTTCCACTGACACACAGGCAGCTGTCTCTTGAGCCACTTGAGACGGATACTCTTGGATCAAAACACAGATAGCTTCCAGATTTGATTCTTAATGAGATACATGGGTTTTTTATTTTTTTGTTCAATCTGAATGTAAGTCACCTAAAGCTCAAGTGTGAAATTCTCCTGTGAATTCACTTGTACAGTAACTGCAGTATTTGTGCTTTGAATACATGACACACTATATTAATAGGTAACATGTGAATGTTGGCTTTTCAAATATTAACTTGTAATATTTTAAGGAGAGGCAATTTTAGCTAGTGCTTATCTTTTTAGTGCAGGACTAGTAACCCTTTCTTCTCTTCTTTCCAAATTCATCTTTTGCAATTTTGAAATCAGCAGATATCTGCTTCTTCCCCCAATTAGAGCAGTGCACATCTGAATACGCTGGAGTCAAAATTCTGGTATATGCAATTAAAGACATTTCTGTATAAGCAAATGATCTTCCCAAGGGTAAAAGGGATGATGGTCCAAACCAATCAGAGACTCACCAGGCATAATATTACACTGAAAATGAATGTCAATATGGAAAATGGCTTTTAAGTAGCCTAATAGTCATTAACTGATGATATGCAGTATCATCAGATACGCAATGCAAGTAGAACATGAGTATGAGGAAGCTAGGATGGAAAGCTGCCAGCAGCTCTTTAACTGCAACTTCTTCAAAATGATGCCATGCACAGATCCAACCTTGCTCCTGCAGCTTCAGCTTTTATTGCTGGTCCTGAGAACTGTGCCTTCTTATACTGACGTCTGAATTTATTTTCAAAGTATTAACTGGTTGGAAGTTATTTTTTTGACTTTTAAACTTCTCTTGGAAGACAATTTAGTTTGTTTTTCTCCACATTTACCCATGTGAAAATGTATGCAACTTTGCAGCAGTCAATGGAGCAACATCCATATCATCAATAGAAGGACATGCCCTTTTCATGTATTATTTATTTCACTTATTTTTCCTCTGGAGAATCGCCTTCACTTTTATTGATTTTGTAGCGTGCAGCCTGATAAGCATTTTTTCCGCCATTGGATGTAATTAATACCAGGTTAACTTCACAGAGATTTACTCCACTGAGAGAATCTGATCCAGGGACTTCACCTACACATCTCTGCGCTAACTCATTCTACCAAGTTGTCTACCTTACCTTAGCATCTGATTTTGAGTAGGGCAAGCAGTCTCTTGGGCCCGCTGAGGAGGGCCGTACATAATAACTGTCTGTATCAAGAAAAGTGGCCTTTTTAGTAGTTAATGAGCAAGCTGAGCTGGGTCTTGGAGGAAGCAATGACTTTGCTCTAGACTTTGAGGCAGGAATCTTTGACAAAGAGGCAGTCTAGTCGTGAGAAAACAAACAAAAGAAAACAACATGAAGCTGAACAAAAGGAAAACACATGTAACACGGACTGAAAAAAAAAAAAAAAGGAGCCAAGCAATGAATAATGATTTTTCCTTTGTCTCGTAATGGTGTGCCTGTGGCAGCTTTCAGACATGCAGGAAAGTTTCAGTTCTGTGTTGTTTGACTGAACACATCTGGGTCTGGTCAGAGTTACTGATTCCAGGGAGCGCCCTTTTCTGCGGATACTATTTTCTCCCTATGTTAATACACCAAGAACGGTGCCAGACACAGCAAAAGCTGGTACAATTGCTAACTGGCTGCATTAGAAGAAAGAACAAAACTAAAGGAGCACAAACATATTCTAGTCTTTTTAAATCAAGCTATGTATTTGAAATATGGTACCCTAGATTATGCTGACGAACAGAACAGCATCAACCTTAAAGCTACAGCCATATTCCCAGAGTGGCAGAAGGACATGATAGCAACTGTACATACATGAAATCCTAAGAGCACCACAAGTGCATTTGGTGTCATCGTGGAAATTTGTAAGTCCCTATCGACAATGTGCAGACCTGGGATAAAACCTTCATATGCTTGAAATGTTGCCAGAAAGAGTCATTGTGATCAGACACCTGTCCAATTCTGATAATGGCATGTTGAAAAATAATTACACCTCAATAGAAAATGTTGCAAGTACTTTGTTGACACTGAGTGGCACCAGACTGCCCTGCAAAAAAGAATTTTTTCTTTGAAAGAGAATAGGGCTATCCCTCTTGAGAAACACTTTGCTTTCTCCTAAGGGTATAATTGATGTTACAAAGAATAACTGCAAGGCTGTTCTCTTGGCAACGTAGTTCTGCTTCTCTCTGTATTCATATAAGCATGACATTACTCATAGAAACAATCCCAACGGGAGTTTGAGATTTGGTACAGAACCTTAGCCATGACAAAAATGGCATTTAATCTAAGTCACCTAGACTTTCTCAATGTTCAGAAAAGGTACATGACTCATCTCTCAATTTGTGGGTTTTTTTAATAGAAAATGAGCAAAAATGGGATGAATCATACCCTAGAGATGTCCAGCTCTCTACTGATGAGCATCTGACTTAGACTAGATACTCAACCTACAGAAAACTAATGCTGGGGTACTGAATGTCATCCACAGAACATATGCACTAATCAACATGACTAAGAGTTGCAGAACATGATTAAGAGTTGCAGAGCTGGGTAATAAACCATTTCAGTCCCATAACCCAGCTGAGCTACACTTCCATTAGAGATCCCCATCCATATCAGGTGGCTTAATTATGGCTTTTTCTTAGTAATTATTTCACTTTACAGGAGTACATAGATAAAATCAGTACATAATTATTTTAAACAGAAACTGAACAATATTAATGAAAGTGTTTCTGTCACAACAAAAGCTTCTCCATGTTTAGCCCAATTTGTCATCAATCAATTTTTAGGTCCCATCCAGCTGAGAAAACTTGGACTGGATTTACAACAGCAGTGTGGTGTTTAGTGATGCTGAAACTGTGGGAGCTGGCTATCTACCCCAGGTGGTTTTGAAAAGCAGACGTTGTGTAATCACCTTTGCACTGGTTTACTGAACTTAAGTAAACCTCCACAATCGAAGGTCCAAAAGTTCATTTAGTAATTTTAGCTCTTTTCATGTTGGGGTGGGGAGGAACTCAAAATGATTCCCCTAATGAGACTGAAAAGCCTTACAGATTAAGAATCTCACCCAAAGAGGAGATAATCTCCTTTTCACTCATATTGCTTACCAGGGTCCTCCATGAACACCTTCACCTAATGTGGATCTAGCATCAGTAAAAGCAGCAGAATCCAGGCCAACCAGTTTCAGTGGCATGCTCAGGGAAGACTGGTAGGGCAAGTAAAGAAACCAAATGCCTCACACCAAACCTATGCTTTACCCAGAAAACTATTCTCAGTCCCTGTTAGCAACGTACTACTTCTGACCTCTGCTATAATTCATGTTGCTGGAAGTGACAGCTTCCCTTGGGACCAAGATTCCCAATTTAGGGATTGCTGAAGGTGGGGCTGCAGAAAGCTCACTTGATTTCAGGGGCTAGCTAGGGAATACACATTCATAATGCATGGCCACTGCTCTTAAGAGCTTGCTGACACAGGCACCCAGCTCACCCCAGCAGATGGAACTGCTCAGCCTTTCCTGAATTGTTCTGAAATGCAGTGTGTAAACTGTGGCTGCAAGAGGGATCACAAACTGAGGGGGAAGAATGGTGGAGAGGAAAAGGCTGCACTTGAAGGACAGAAAAGCTGGAAGACTGAACACAGCAACAAGATGGGAGAGGTCTTTAGGAAGGTACAGATTAAGCCAAGGCACAAAGGAAAAACTGTCCAAGAGATGGGCAAGTGTTGCAACCAGAGAAGGGAAGCAATAGAGGGAGAAAGTACATGGGACAGATGACTGATTTATGCCCTAAGGTAAGGGGCGGAAAGAAGAAAGATGTATAGAAACTAGACCATGTCCAAGAATGATTACGCAGTGCTTATGCTCTGAGCACTCCAGAAGCTCTGAAAATGCTTTAGTATTGATTTCTCTTGGCTAAACGTTGATCATCCCCCACAAAAAAAATGCCAATATTAAATCTCACTGTTGACTCAGATCAGAAGCCTCTCTAGGCATTTCTTCCTCTTTTAATAACGAAGCTCCAGCAGGTTCTTCAGTTTTCAGCTGAAATGAGCCCACACAAAATCCCCAAATTTGTGGCTGAAATCAGGAGTAACTTTTGCAGCTCCTTGTATAGCTTCAAGTAAGTTAGGTTGTTATCATTACTGCTCATTTATTACAATTTGTCAATGATGTGCGCAGCATTTTATGAAACGCAGATTTTTGTTCCCCAAGCAACTGACAATCTGATTAGACAGATGAAATATATTAACCATGGAACGCAAGAGGAAACATAAGGGGAATATTAAGGAATTTCTATGTTATGGTTAACAATGACAAGTAATCACTGTGCTGAAGTTGTGAGCTAGTATGCATCAGCGTCAAGAATTAAAAAAAAAAAAAAAAAATGGCTTGTGGGAGAATGGGAGGGAATTTCCTGGGGATTTTAGAGTGGAGGTAGAAGAAGAGCACAGGGTTAGCATGGGAGCAGGGCAGGAGGTACTGCAGTATTTGCTGCAGGAAACTCAGCAGAGCAAGATGCAAGGAGCAGAACAGGCTGCAGAGCAGCTGAAGGCAAGGGACGTAACAGGTTAAAACACACAAAGATCAGTGGTCCAGGAAACAGCCAGTTAGAAAGCACTTAGTCACATACAGAATGCTCTTGGCTAATAACTTCTCACTAGCCATAAGCTCTGTGGACCACGTGGAAGCGTACGGGTACATTACCGCTTTCCAACGAGTCTTGTGGCAGGGATTCCTTTGCATCTAGCAGTCAAGCAAGGGGTCAGGTGCTGCAAACAGGGCCAAGGCAGGAGGAGGTTTCCCCTGGAGGGGCACCAGGCTCAAAATGCTGAACTAGGTCCAGAAGTCTGGAGTCTGCCTTGCCCCTGGAGATTTGCAAACTGTCAGCACGTACTGCCTGTGACTCCAGGCTTCTCCAGGAAAGACGGCTTTCGTTATCTTTCAAATGAATTATGAATATGGCAGAAACATTCTAACAGGAACACACATTTACTTAATTAACAAAAATACAACTGAAATAAAGACAGAAAAAGAGATTATGAAAGTAGATTATAACAATATCATTTTACTCACTGAGAGTTTTTCCTTGGCTTGTTTAAATACACCAGGAGCTTGGTTTGTTTCACCACCTGCTGCTGAGAGATCCAGACAAAGACTTAATGGTTAAAAAATATACATATAAGCAATGTCCGCTTAGCATACTGCTAGAACAAACAAATGCCTTGCAACTACTGTGCAAATCAGTTATCTTGTGAAATAGTCTTTGGAAACTGTATGCATAAAGACATCTTTTCTTAAAAATATCCTATATTCATCACACTTGATATAAAAACGTATTCTAATACATTTCCAACAAATCAGAATTTTGTCTTCATGTCCCTAGAAGTCTAGAAAATTTGCTAAAATAGGCAAAAAATGGCAGACAGATTTAAGAGGCAGTAGCTCTGAAGGTGTCTCCTGAGACATCTCAGAGTCATGATTTTCAGAAAACACTGACCAACAATCCCCTAAAAATCAAGCTCCATGAAATTATTTAAATGGAAGCCCCTCGAATCACCAACCACTTTTCAAAATGTAGCTAAAATTCCTAGGAGAAAAGGAAATTCTCTTTTGAATCATCAGCCCAGTGGTACCCAAAAGCTCCATGTGGAGCTTCCATGTCTGAAGTCAACCCTTCAGACTTAAGAATTCAAACTAAACACAGCACAGCAAATGCCTTAATTCACTATTTCATTTATCTGTTACACCCTGATAAATGTTTTTTCCTTTAATCTTTGACTTGGATCCCATCTTTAGAAGTCTAGGAACTGGGGAGCTTTGCAGACAGCAGATGACTGGTTGCACCCCCTGCTGCTTTTTGGGAAGCCATTTGCTACAGAAAATCCTTCGGCATCCAAGCCAGAATGGCTCTTAGGAAATGCAGGTCAGTGGCACAGCTGACATCCTCTAGCTACAATCCTAATTGCCTTCTGACTATCAAATCAATCCTAAAGCTCAGTATGTGACAGTAGCAATGAATTCTCCCTGTTCCCTGCACAGCTGCAGCACACGCAGGTTGCAGGCTGGGGGGATCCCTGCCTTTCTGCCACAAACTGAACGTCCCCTCCGTAGTTCTGTCCTCCTAACAGCGCTTCCCTCATGTCTCCCTTCGCGCTTGCTTGAAAGAGCAGCAGAGAAACTTCGGGAGAAGGAAAAGCACCACAGGAAACTTTAGGAGGAGGAGAAGGTCGTTCAAGCGCATGCCTTAGCTCCGAGGATGCAATGGGGAAAGGACGGCGCAGGTGCCTGCGCTGCGTTTTTCACCCCGTGGGTCGTGCCCCTGTGCCACCCGGGCTGGCGCCGCGCCTGCCACTTACCTGCGAGCACCGCCAGGCCTCCGTCAGAGCCAAGGGGCTGGATCATGACTTCAGGGGCTCCCCGGGCGACGTATGGGCATGTTTCGCCCTGGGGGGCCGAGGGGCGCGGGGCTGCGCGTGCCGGCGGCGCTGGGGGTCCTACAGGACGCCCCGCGCCCCGTGACCTCACACAGGGAACAAGGCCGGACACCGAGCGCCGCTTCCGCGGGCGCTGCGGGCCCCTGTCGTCCCGTGCCGAGGCCAGGGCCTCACAGCGCTGGACCTACAGTTTCTTTTCTGATTTTTAAGGGATATATGCAGATTTCAAGAGTTAGTAGTACCTGGGGCAAGACAGCACTGACCACACGGCTGCAAAAGCGTAAGGGAGGGAAAGGATGCTACAAAGCCAATGTTTTCATCATGATATGAAGAATCAACTCCTCTTTTCCGCTGCTTATTGACCCGCTTAGGTCTTTTGGAAAGAGGGTGGGAATTGTGGGTCAGCAATGCTGAGCTGATCAAACTGTGCTTTGGGAAACAATGAAAAGGGTGGCAAGAACTAAGGCCAAGGTCTAGAGAAGAAGTTGGTCCCGGGACTGCAAGCAGAGAAGGAGCCACCACAGAGGAGCCCCATGAGCTTTTCCTTCCCTGGCTGCTCTACTTGTCACAGGAGTCAGGGCTAGATCCCCTCACATGGCAGACCGGCCCAAATACTACCTTGGTTTTCCTAGAGGAATACAGCCTGGAGATCAGACATGATTTCTACTGCTGCGGCACGGTATTCAAGTGACACTCACATACATTTTACTGTGTTTTCTACAGTCAGACATCCATACAGAAGGGGGTCCAAATTTAGCAGAAGGGTGCAAAATTGATGCAAAACTGCATAGGATTGACTCCTTCGAATACTTGTGGCATCTCATTGTGTTGTTCTGTGCTGGGTAATAAAGCCTTAATTTCCAAGTCATTTGAAGAGGCCTGTGCCTGTATAACCCAGTAGTAGCTCTGCATTGCTGGACATGATTCATCACTTGCTAACCCCAATTCCACTCACGAGCAACTACACTGCAACATGCAGATGTGTTAAACAACAGAAAATTCAGCATCTTTTAACAATTCTTTCTTAAGATGAACAATAAAGCTAGAGATGATGTTTTTTCTATCCTGAACTTGCCATAATACTAAGAATAATATGATGAAAATGTTCTTATTTGGGTTCTTATTATGTCCTACAATATAACAATACATCTATTAATATGTAACAGGAATATTATTTTTCATCCTTTCATCTTTCTCTACCAAATATTAAGATTTTTTGCTTGGAATGCATTCATAGCGTGAGCTCAGGTTTCTTCTCTTTCAGCTTCATACTGCTTGTGGCTGGATTCCCCCTGTGGATTTTGACTGTACATCATAAACATCAATCACAGATTGGGAAGTATCAATGCAGATAATATAAATCAACAATATATGTCTAAAACACTTCTTATTATGCATGAGAGTAAAAAAGCAAAATAATGGAAACGCATACCATGGTTTAAGCTGTCAACATTTTCCCACCAGAAAAAAACAAAAGCATAATTAAAAAAAAAAAAAAGGAAAACTAGAGATTTCTCCAACAACAATCACCACGATGCCAAGATACAACCACAGCACTTTGAGGTCCAAGCAACCACAAGCATACATGATCATGGCCGCCATTAAACAAACAAACAAAAACACAGCAGCAAAGAAAGAAGGAAAGAAATCAAAAATGATACAAAGCATTAAAAAAAGCAATACTACTTGTGAAGACTGATATTCTTAAGAGAAAAAATAAAAAGCTGCTACAGCCATGAGATTTACAAAAAAAAAATGTCTATGTTTGCCAGCCACATTGCATAATTGAACAGAATGCAGTCACCTGTCTGCTTCCGTTTAACACAGGAGAGATGAGTTGGTCTAGTATATTTGATAGCAGGTTTTAAAATGATTTTCCTGGAGGGAGAGTGGGCCTGAACTTCAGTTTTTTTAGCAAATTCAGCTTTCTTATATACTGCTACGGACAAGAAAACACAAAAGCATAGAATCAGGAAAAGACACCGAACAGTTTGATACGACAATACATCAAGTGGCAGGCCCACTGCTCCCCAGCTCCGGCCTGGTGCTTCAGGTCTACCGGAGGAATGACTCCTACGTTCGAAAAGGGGAAGTCCTGGAGCATTAGCCTCAGATGTGCTTGCTCCCCCATGCCGGGTGGGAATGTTACAGAAAGCTGGATGGATGGAGCAGTGAGCCTTGCACGCAGCTTTTCATATAATTGTACAATGTCTAATTAAAAAGCAATGCAGTTAATACTATTAAGATGCACATCTTTTACAATACAGCAACCTAATAGCACTACACAGTAGTACAAAACATATATATATATATGTATAAAATATATATTGTAATAGGGAGTGTTAAATGAACCTTTTTTCCTTCTCACTTCATCTCTGGAGAGTGTGCTAGGTTCCTTTTTAGCTATTTTCCTTTCAGGAGTAGAAATCCTGCCTCGCCCAGTTTTAAAAGGTTTCTCTTTTTTATGTTTATCGAGAGATGGTCTTCGCAATTCTCTCTCTGCCTTCTCCTCTTTAGGAACAGTCTCTAACTGTTCAGTCATGATGCTCCTATCATCATCTGTAGGATCAGAGCAAATTATAACAACAAACAAAAGATTAGTAACAAATGTTAATACACTGTAGAGGAGCGGAGTAAAAATAGTTGAAGATAGAGTAGATGATTTAATTAAAAAAATAAAAAAAGGCAGACTATTTTACCACAGTGCTCAAATAGGCTGAGATTACTGTTACCATTACAATAATTTTGCTTTTTGATCATTATGAATTGGGAGCAAAAACTTTTAACAGACAAAACAAAAAGGATAATGCACACCTTGAGTATCCGCCCAGAGACTGTCCGTGTCCATGATGGAGTCGTCAATGGTTGTTTCATCTTTGTAATCGTCGCATGTCTCTGTCTTGTAGTCGGTGAGCAGGACTTCTTCTCTGTCGGGTGTTGCAGGAGCTTCTGGGGAGCCCTCCTTGGGCTCACCATGAATGTCAGCCCCTTCCTCTATCTCCAGTTCCTCCTCAGCCTGGGAGTCCCCTGCTTCCAAGTCTTCCTGGGTAGCTGCAAACCGCACACTGTGGGAAGCTGATTCACCCTCATCAACTGTTGTCTGCACAACTGTGATAAAGTCATCCTCTACTGTCACCACGGATTCAATAACACCTTTCAGTTCTAGCAGTGCTTCTGAGCCAGCCTTGACTGGCATTTCTTCACCTGTAGGCATCCCTAAGTCTACTTCTGAGGGCATTTCTTTTACAAGTTGCTGTTTATCCTCTTCTTTTTCCTCTTGTCCTCCTGCTGCCTCTTCCTCCTCCTGTTCTTCCCTTTCTGTGGCCTCAGCTGTCACTTCACATGGCAGTGGCTTTTGGATTTCCATGGCTTTCATAGCTGCATCTGGAATCTTTTCAATTCCCTCTGTAGGTTGCGGTATGCTCTCCATCTGCACCTCAGCAGCCTCTTCTTGCAGCAGCTCAGCTTTTGGAAGAGGGAGCTCCACAGAGGGCTCCTTTGCCGGTAGCTCTGCAGGAGTGTCTTCCTTTGACACAGAAGGCTTTGGAGGTTCCCCTTTGATGTCCTCTGATTTCAAGGATTCTCCATTCAGACCTTCCTGGACTTGATCATGCTCTCCACTAGATTCATATGATTCCTCTTTATCAACTGCCTCTTGATGTACCAGATCTGGCTTAGGTACTTTTTCCTTAATTTCTGTTTCAGTCAATTTTGCAGCGTCCTTCACATGACTAGGCTCAGTCTTGGAAAGTACATCTGCATCCTTGCTTTCTCTGGACAAAACAATCTGATCTTTCTGCTGAGTCCCTTGAGGTTCAGGTTCTGCTCTTTGAACAGAGGCTTTGTCCTGTCCTGGAGGGGGAGAAACAACCTCACGAACCTTAGCATCTAACTGACTCTGATATTCTTGGTCTGCTCTCCTTGCAGCCACTTCCATATCGTGCTTTATAGCGTTATAATCTGGTTTTATTGGAATGTCTATCTCAGTCATTTCAGGAACAACACTAAGAGTCTTCTCCTTCTCAATCAACAGAGAAACAGCATCTTTTCCTTTTGCTACCTCTGGGGACAACAGTCTGTCATACATGATATCACCAGTTATATGATCTTTATCAACCAGACCTTCTTCTCTCACTTCTAAGATTGCCTCAGGTCTTGTCTTCTCCAGGTCTGTAGCTTTAATGGGATATACCTCCTTAGCATCAACCTGATCTTCACTTTTCTCTAGCACTGTATCCAACTTCTCTTTTTTCTCCTGCTCAAAGTCCCTCACCAGAACAGATTCACCAGTGGCATGCTGACCTAAATCTTTTTCACCGAGCAATTCTTCTTTCGATTTTTCCGCTGCTGCCAGCTTCACTTCTATTAAAGACAGGTCAGGAGCTACGCCACGTCGCAATTTTTCATCAGTGCCTTCGTAAAATGGACAGGTTTCACCCGTTAAATTCTCACTGTCTTGAACAGGAGAAGGCAGTGGGACTGTGTACTTATTGAAAACACAGTAGCCTAAGTCTTCCAGCTGACTCTCAGCTTTCAGAGTTACGTGGTTTTCATCTGTCACAGGCGGCAGGGCTGTGCTGCTGTCTTCCGCAGCAGTGTCAGAGGGAACTGGCTTCTTCTGTGCCACCTCAGCATCTGCACTCACAGAGGCTAACCTAGATCTTGTCCCTGCTAAGTCCAACATTTCGGGAAGATCAGGAGCCATTACAGCACCATTTTTGTAATAGTCTTTGGCTGGGAAAGGTGACTCAACCGATGTCTCGGGCTGGACTTTTTCTTCAGGCATTGCTTTTTCCTCTTCAATGTGTTCATCTTCATCTCTACTGTCAATGGGGAAGCAAGGAGCCTTCTCCAATGCTGGTGTGGTTGCCGGCAAGTAGTCATCACCTTCATCCATACTACCACTAGTGTTAGTTAGAATATCTGAAGCAAGAGGAGAGAGATCGTGTGCACGGCCAAAGCTAAATCCTAGAGCAATTGAATCCAGGCAGGACATGGGCAGGTTGATAGACATACTTCTCTGCTCAATTGCAGATCTGCCCCCAAGTCCCAAACTCCTGCTCAGAGTTAGGTCATCTTTATTTTTACTATGGAGCTCTCTCTTATCTCCATAGACCTTGGGGTCAATAGTGAACATTCTTTCAGTCGGGGAACTTGGCTCCTCAGATTTGTCGGGTGGGAAGCTCTGAGCAAGGGTACTGTACCCTATTTCATGAGCAGGCACAGGCTGCTGCTGATCCGCTTCTGTCTGCAATTCTTCCTCCTCTTCCTCTTTGCTTTCAGGTATTAGACGATCTGCCTGATAAGGCTCATATGCACTCTCTTTAGTGTCACTTAGCTCATAGTAATCACTGCCTAGCTTCAGAACGTCTCCTTTGGTTGCTTCCTCTTTCAGAGCAGAGGTTTCAAAATACTTTGACATTCCTGATCGATCCTCTTCTGTTGTCATTTCGTGAGTAACTGAATCCAAAACACTTATCTTGTCCTGCCTGGTGTCTTTTGTAACATCTTTTGCTTGAACAGGTTCTAGAGTAGGAATCTTGTCACTGGTTAAACCTGGTGCCTCAGGCCCCTTCTCTGCTGTTCTGGATAACGGGGTGGTATCAGGGTGCTCTGTTGTTTTTCCAAGGGTCACTTCTGGGCTTAACTTGCCAGAGGACACCTCTGTCGTTGGCTGCACCTCCTTCTTTGTGTCTGTTGTTGCTGGGAGCCCCCTTTGGTCCATGTCTTTTTCTGCTTTGAAAATATCAGGGAACGTTTTAGCTTCACCCTCCTTTTGAAAGTCTGTTTTGTCTGGAAAAAGTGTCTTCTCTTCAGGTTTAGTGGTAAATTTGCCATCATCTAATATTCGAGCTTCCCCTTTATCATAGAAGTCGTACCTTTCCTCCTCATCACTCTCCTCCTTGGTCATGTCCTTTTCCTCCCCCCAGGCAGGCATCTTCTGCGTGCTCGGTGGTTTCAGTCCATCTACAGTTACTGCTGAAACTTCTTGCGGGGTTGGTGTCTTGTCTCTGTGGATCTGCTCTTCTTTAGTGAGATCTTTGGCAAGCAGTTGATCAGTGGGTTCCTGTTTTGTTTTGAAACTGTCTTCAGGGGGCAGCCTCTGCAGGACCAAGAGAGATGAGTCTGAAGGAAGTTCACTTTTTGCTTCATCTGCCTTGGGTTCTGACGGCAATAAGAAATTCCCACCGTGGGTGATGGCAAGTTCTTGGACATCTTTGAAGTCATCTTTAAATTTCACAGAGATTTCTTGGCTGGCTGGCAAGGGCACATCTGCAATCCTTTCTTCTGTTTTGCTCCCTTTAGGCAGTTCAGATGACAAATCTTTGTGTTCTTGAGAAACAGGAGGCTTTGCAGAAGGTTCTGCAGAAGTGGCTTCCCCTTTCTTTTTGGCATCAGTTTCTAAAATCTGGTCTGACAGAGGTGAAGGCATTCTGTCTTTGCTCTGTGGATCCTTTTTATCTATAGCCTCTGTTTTTGCTGGCTGTGGAACTAAGGCATCGTGTTTAGGTTGCTCACCAGTCTTACTGTCTTTCCAAAATTCATATTCCTTTGTGGCTAATGGTTCTGCTGTGAAAGGGTGCGCGCCCTCCTGGACACGGCTTTCCATCTTCGTGGCTGTAAGTAAATCTGAAGTAGTTGTTTGGGTTTTACAACGTAATTATTTAAAGCACTTACAGGCAGGCAGTCATGTGGCTTAGAACATCATCTTGGTATGAATAATGGAGGGGAGAGGGGAAAAAGATGCAAGCATGCAGCAAAGCTATCCACCTAGAAATCTGCTTTAAAGTGTTCAGTTCTGGATGGCTCTCCATATATGAGGTTTTACAGTGAAAATGGGAGTTATACACAGATGTAAATCTACGACTACTGACATGAGATGACTATATGACTTCCTCATCTTTATGGTTTGTATGAACAGTAAAACCATATAATAACCCTCACTTCATTGGCATGCTCTGCTGGGTTATGAAGTCTATGCTAGTTTCTCTGTAGTAAAGTCTGCAAAACTAGGCTCAATCAATAGTATCTCTGTGTGCTGCTAACATTTAGAACATACACATTTATAAGTTGACCTTTTTGTATCAAATTTGTCTTTTACACATGCCCTAAACTAAAGAAACTATACATACAAGAGGTGTGATGGGTGTCAAAAGAGGCCACTCTGAGTTTTAGCAACTTTTCACAATTACTCTTTGGAAAATAGCAAAAATCCCATTGCAGTCATGAAACTGGCATGTGTTAATCATCACTGGAGCTATTAACAGTCTCAAATCGTGGAGACCTTCTTTCCAAAATGGCCAGCCATCTTCAGTTTAACTAAGGTCAAAGAATACTGGGTGTGTCGCAATGACTGTAGGTCAGGCCCTAAGTTATTTGAAAATGAGAAATGCTACTCTCAGCCAGCCACATAATTTCAGGGAGTAATACCCAACTAATTTATTTTAATACATGCTCTGTAAATTATTAACAGCATGTTCTGTCATATGAAAAATATTGCATGAAAAATATGAGTATATTACACAAAACGTATGAAAACACACTGCAGGGTATGGTAGAGCTTTCTGAAGTGATTTGTTAAAAATGTTCTAAAGGTTTTCTAAAACTTGTCATAATAAACATCGAGACAAATCTGTATCTGTATCTATGGTAATGTATCCTTTATACATATCAGGGTATTATTTATCCAAAAAAGATACTGCCATCTAAACTCTGCAGGTCAAAGCAAATAAGCTACCGCTCCGTAATTCTGCTCCTTTATGTTTTTAAGTTTGGTGACCGGTGACTTACTTGCAAACTGTTAGATGTACAAACATGGCCAATGAGCTGATGTCAGTAGTTTCACAGAACTTAACCAGCTAGATTCACCTTATTGAAATGCCAGTGAGCAGAGACAGCGGCATCAAAAGACACTACCCTAAAGTAATTTAACCTTTCTTAGCTAGGCCAGGATATCAGGTTCCTCAAAGTCGTGTTTCCTAGTCAGGCAGTGAATGGCTGCACCAATACCAAGTGTCTTTGCACCTTGTCTTCACCATGACTGAAGTATCATTAAAAGGCCAATCTGGAAGCACTTTACTAGTTCTTACTAGAGCAAACAACTGATTGCAGTAAATAATTTGCCTGAATAGGCAAATCTGAACATTTCCTGGGAGCCCAATCTTGAACTTCATGATGAAAGCAGGTATCTCAGTCGAGGTGATGGGCATTTTGCCTGAGCAAGGATCTCAAGTAGGACTAAATATTTGTAATACAGTAAAACACACAAAAAATCAGAGTTCTGGCAATGATCAAGGAGAGAGCGGGTGGATGCAATGAACGGCAAGGATATGACATAAGAAGCAATAGCTTTAGGGAAGCTAAACCAGAATGCACTGAAGCACAAAAAAAAAAAAATACTGCACGCTGCAAATAAAAACATTTCTATAGTTTAAGCCTCTTTATGTCATAGTCAAAGTCAATAAATCTACTTTTTGAAAAAAAAGCAGATGAATCTCTGCACCAAAAAGAAAAAAAAATATACACAGATTAGCAATGTGACTGGCAAACACATCTGAGATGGGGGGAAAAGGCTTACGCAGAGGTATCAGCTTAGCTGCAAAGCATATTGTATCATGGCAAATAAAAATCAGGAATCAGCCGCAGCGGTGGGAAACCATGTTGTCACACAGCACCTATGCAATCGCTTTATCTGCTACGCACTCTTCAAGCATAATAACAAGAGCAGTCATACTAATAAACAAGAAATGGGAAGAACGGGGAATGAAGCAGCTCGGAAAGCACTGGAGAAAGCTGGAGGAGAACTCATTGGCAGCAAACACATGCAGACGTCACGAAGACACACACCTTCCTCAGCCAAGGAAGGGCGCGTGTCTTTGAGGGACGTTTCCGCCACAGCTGCCACGCTGGATGCCACACTCGGCACTCGGTCTTCGCGAGACACTTGGGCCTCCAAAGCAGAACCTGGCTGGCCCTCCCTGAGGCCCTTTGCCAGCCCTGCAGGCTCAACAAGCTCCTGCTCTTTCCCCGGTTGCTTCCCAGGAAGAGCAGCAGGTTTCGCTTCCGTGGCCATCGGACTCTCTACTGCTTCTTCTTCTTTGCGGATGGAGAAAGGAGGCAACATCAACACCAACAGTAAACACAAAGCACAAAGCTCAACAGAAACACTTTTACACAACACTTTCAGCTCTGAACGCTTTAGATTGAAGTGTCTCAAAAGACTGCAAGGATTCAACTCATTTTAGTCGTTGTGTAATGGAATTTTCCTTAGGAAAAACATCATTTTCCCTATGAATCACACTGGAAGATGAGAGCTGGAAGTGTTTTATAGGTTTAACCTCTCCCAAAGATGGCTCTGGGTCAGATATTTGTTGCAAATGGAGATGGTATTGGGTGATGGATGGCTCTGACAACACCAATACATATCACTACATTCAAAAAGTTCACTGATTTTTCTTTTTTTTTTTTTGTGATAAATATGCTGTTTTATCCACCACAGAACATTCAATTGGTATGAGGGAAAGTATGAGGCATAAACTTCATTTCATTGACCTTGACTATTTTGACTGCTAAATGCTAATGAGTCAGTCTATCATTTGGGTCTGAGATTTGGCAAAACATTCAGCTACTTCCATAATCTTAATAAATTTTGCGCAGAGCTGATGACTAATTATTTCACAAGAATCCAGCCACAATCCCCACGCTAAGTGGGTTGATAAACCCCTTTTGCCTTAGGCTTTCCAATATTTGAACTCTGTATGTGAGATTCACAGACGTAACACAAAGATTCTTCATTTCCTTTCCTCTCTTCCCACTAGCCTCAAGGCCTCCTCCACTACCACCAATTAAGTCACAGATATCAGCGAGCGCAATGTCCCTTTATCTGAATTTCTAAAATCCACCACTTAGCCTATGGGCTGCTAAGATCAGTCTATTAATACCACGTGGTGCTCATTCTACTCTTGCCCTGGCTGAAGAATAATTAGCAAAGTCTTCCTTATAGACTGAACTCCTGCCATTGCTTCCCAGACCAAATATTGCTCTGCTCTGTCAGGAGCCTTCCCCTCTGACAGGAAATCAGGATTAAGCCTGAAAGCTTTGATTTAGCAAAACCCTTAAGCAGCTGACCAGTAGCCATATGAAAATCAACCCAATGACCCCTTCAGCTTAAAATGAACTTTGCTGAATCAGGCTTAAAACAAAGTGGGTTTCAATCTGCAAGTGGCTGTATCCAGCCCCTCTGCATTAGAGTCAAACCTCTTTACAAGGGCTTGATTTTTCTCCTGAGATTGGCCTAGTTAAAAACAGCCCACCAACCACCTACGTCAGTTATGGCCTTTAAAAATGATTTAAGGAACACAGATATTATGGAGAGAACAGCGTCATTAATAAAGCATAAAAATGAAATTCATGTTAGATACTATATCTTAAATGAACAGAAGACAGAAGTTTGAGAATTAGAACTGGGCTGATGCCTGAGTGTTACAGAGATCTTTACACACAGGGAGACTGTAAATGCAGCCTAGTAGAATAGGTGCCCATCTATAAGAAGCTCTTACTCAGAAATATGCTTCACTTTTTTTCCATTTTTATGGTCTTTTGTATGTACATCCCTTTCAATAAAAGACAGAAAGAAAATCTCTAATTTTATCCCATTTTTAAGGCAGAGTTGCTTCACGTAGTGCCACATGGTTAACACTAATTACTCACCAAATCTCTAAGTACCCTCCAAAACTTTTTTTGACGTAATTGCAGTATATACCTAGCTGGAAATAACCAAATCTTAGCACCCAGTGTGAAGGATTGTCCTGGCTCCTGCTAGAGCAGTGGAGAAAAGACCTATGGAGGGCCAAACAGCAGGTCTGCTCAAGACACTTGTCTTAGCAGGGCATCAACCTTCTCCTGCAGATCTGTCCTTACTCACTGACTCAAGGAGGGGCCCAGGTACTTGGTTGAATTAGATGCCTAGCTTGGAGATGCTTAACATAAGGGGAGATTAAGCCCAACCTGAATACTAATGTAAACAGAACATAATGGTTCCCTCAGAGTTATTATAACTCCTCAAATAAATACATTGAGTAGATAGACATTAAAAATAAATAAATAAAAGAAACATGGAAAAAGAATTTTCCATGAAGTAAATAGATGTCATTACAGCAGCTGTAAAGGCCTGGCTACAGCTTCAGAAAACACTTCTTGAATGGAGAAGCAAACGCATTCAACTGAGGCAAAATGGTACACAAATACAAGACACACACTGCTATGGATACTGAAAGTTAGCATGGGTTCAGAGAAAAGAAAAAGAACAGGTAAAATCTCTTCAGGACAGTTAGCTACAAAAACATCACCTTTGATCAAATGAAGTCTGAGAGTGCCCCTGAGGAAAGCATCATTAGACAACCTCCCTCGCCTTAAATCCTCTACACACCTACTGCTGGCCAGCATCAATTAACTGCCTAGGCGACTGATCTGAGCTGGGCATCCTTCTCACATTGCTATACAGCTTCTCCTAGTTCTGCCTCACCTTAGATTAAATAATAATCTAATAATTTTTCTCCTGAAAAATATATGTATTTGATCTCACAGACTGAGTGGTATCCTGTTTTCCCAAGCTATGGCAGTAAGTTATCCATGAGATAATGAAGGAAAAGAGCAGCAGAAACTTTTACGTCAGACTACTCAGTCGGGGGCAACAGGTGAGAAGGGCAGTATCATAATGCTCTACCTTTTCATTACTGATTCAGCTTTTTTCCTTTTCTTTTTTTTTTTCCCCTCAAAGATGTTGCTTTGGGATTTTCCACCTTCACTAGAGGTAAATGCATACAACTGACAAGGCTGGTGCTCATGACTAAACCAGTCAGGAGTGTTCTAAGTGGAGCTATGGGCATCCAGCTACTGCAGGGCTCCTCCTCTGCTCGTCTCCTTTAGTTTCATGTAGACATCCTGCCACTAACAATCTTCAGTTCTTAGTTCTTGAAATGACCCACTGAGTAACTTCTGGCAAACACTTCTGTTTTTCCTGAGACAAGAATCTCAAGAGAATTCTGTCATTTTTAACTTTACCTCCTGCGCCTCAAGATTGAGACAGTCAAATGCTGTGAGGTGAAACATCAGCTGTTCTGCCTGGGATAAGAAGTCAGAACTTCTTTTAAGTCATTACTTAACTTCTGCTTTAACTTCTCATTTAACTTTTTTTTAAACTCATTTAACTCTTAACTAACTCATTTATTCATTAACTCATTTAACTAACTCATTTAACGCTTTTGCAATCTGCACTGACAAACTCATACAGCCACATACTTGGTGATGCACTGTGGCCACAAAAAGAGGGGAACAGAATCCCTTCATTTAAACATTAAAATGTCTGCCCTGTTTGCAGCCAGCTGACGCAGTGTTAGCTGGGTGCATCCACATAACAACTGGAGATCAAACATGACCCAATATTGCTCGAATTCACTACTGCATTCCGAGGAAAATATTGATTTCTTCTGCCTACAGGAGAACTAATAACCCTCCCCTGCTGTCTTTGGTGTGGACATGATTTTTTTTCCATTGCACTAACTTACCTCCAATAACAGCCTTTTGGGCTATCATGCACAGTGTCCTCTGACAGAAAGACCAGAATTAGCTTATACTTCTGCTCAGTTGTTCCTTTTATTCCCATTTTAAACCAATGAACCAAAAGCCCAGATTAGAGCAGGCACTAGTCTCCCTGACCCAGAGGTGCATTCTCTGCTCACACTGCAGCTTCACTTTGAGAGGAAGAGTTTGCAGGGACATCATGTCCATGTGTGGAAAAAAAAACCCAACTAGGTCCCTCCCCAGAAAGCAGCACTCCCGGGCACATATAGAATGGAATGGATGGCATGTGGCTGGACAGAGGGGACGAGGAACAAAATGGGACCATGCTCAGTTCACCTTCATCATGGCCCAACAAGACCTCTGCGCTCTTCACTGTGGCACTGGGATGTGTACTAGAGCCAGTCCACTCGGAGCTGAACAAAGGGTGGTCATAGTACTCCTCATCCGAATTGTAGGGCTCATCATCGGGCACAGACACTGAGATGGAGGGGGCCAGGTGCTGACGCCACTCGCCGCCGGCAGCGCGGCCACGGCGCAGCGGTCCCACCTTATCCTCCGCCCCTGCATCTACAAATAGACACACACAGACAGACAAAAACTGCAGGACAGACAAAGAGAAGACAGGACGGGGTGGCAGCATGCAGCACGAGCAGCTGTGGCACACGACGGAGCGGATGAAGCCAACCAGGCTACCAGCTACTGTCGCATGGAGAAATGGGGTTTCTACACATTTGAACACATAGAACATGCATGTGGTGTTTCCCATGCTGTTTATGGACATTGGAAAACAATCATCAGAATAAGAGAAGTTCAAAATTATACACTCATTTAGAGAGATACGTATTACAGACAAACCACATCGCAACTTGTACTGATTTGCATCCAAATTATATAGTTGGACTGACTTCACAAACCCCTGAAATGTCCCAACACAACTGTACCCTTCATCTTTAGGTGAAGTACTTGAAAGTGTAAATTAAAATAAAAATCCTTTAATTAAAAACAAACCAGCTTACACTTTAGTCAACAAGGTTTTATTCCTTATTTATATCCATTTTGAACTTCTGCAATTTCTTCCTTTCCCTATAATTAAGTAACATTTAAACAAAAAGAAACCCTTCCCTAGGTGGCTGATTGCCTTTTTTCCTGCTAAAGGCCCCATGAAGCTGCTCACAGCAGTCTCTGTTCGTCCCACCATTTCACAGTGTTGTGCCACGTTGCCGTGGCTGGACTCGCTCCTGTCTAGGAATGTGCCAGTGCTCTGGCATGACGGCTTTATTCACCCGGCACTGCAGCATCACAGATAATCACCTAATCAGCCCAGCGCCAGAGCTGCTCCTGACAGCTAGACGGAGGGGGAGGCTGGCCTTGTTTTCACAAGACAAAGAAATAACCCCATACAACACGAGTGCCTGGTCCATCACCTGGCCCACATGGATCTATAGAGGAGCCTGAGTCTGTGCAGGCAACAATGCCATCTGACCATGAATGAAGCTATGAAAAACTAAACATCTGGTACTAGAGAAAGTAGGTTTAAGTATACTCCATGTGTGTAAAAACTAGCGGCTGGGCAAACCTTATATTCATGAGGTACCTTCTTGCTGCCCATAGGAGGTAGCCCATTCTATTTGCTAGGGGTTCCAAAAAACAGTTTGTGTTGAGTGGCCCTGTCTGGGCAAGTGCAACTTCAGGGCTTCGAGGCTTTAAAATTTCCCCCTCAGATCCTATGAACTACTATGTCTCAGAAAGCAGATTTTATCCATCCATTTCATCTCACCACATATTGTGACCAAACCACTTCCAACTAAAAGAGCTCCCAGCTTCTTCCTGACAAATGACTGTAAGTTTTAAGTTGCCTTCTATAGCACACAGTAACAAAACAACCTCTGCATCTTGAAAAGAGACACCTTCCTGGGAAATGAATACTGTAATATCAACCCATTCAGGCTTAAATCATCCACAAAAAGGTAGAAAAGATTTGTTTATAATGTTAGTAGCATCAATACATATCATCCAGCCATGAAAGGAAGATTATCCATACTGAAGGCTGGAAAGTCCTTTATAGACTCTGAATGGATTCTAAGCAAGAAAATATGGCCCCTGCTTCTTCTCTGTAATACTAATAGCAATACAAATTACTGTGATGGACCAGAATAATTAGGAGTGTCAAGTCTGGTACTGCTGAGGTTGTTATATCTGTGTCTATTACAGATGTGCATTGTTTATCTATCAATTTTAATAAAGATATTTTCAAACTAACTACAGATAATTTCATTAACAGGATAATTTTAAGGCAGAATAGGCATTTATTTCTGCAACAAGAAGAATCCTTTCTTTGTTATTTTAGTCCATTCTAATAGATTCTAATAGTTCTTTTGATTTCAAAGTCTGAGTAAAAAAAAAAAACAAAAAATAACCAATGCTTTCTAAAGTCCAAGATTAAAATCATTTTTCATACAAGCTAATTCTACTTTGGCTTCTGGGTAGCTTTTGAAAATACCTTTCAAGAAATAATTTTCACTGGAAATAGATCTTTTTATAGGACGCTTCGTTCTTTTCAGTTTGCAAAATGTTCTAATTTGGCATACAAAGCTTATGCTGAAATGCCTACTTCCAAATGAAAGGCAGTCCATCAAAACCATCACCCTATCTTGCAACATTTAGATGCATTTTTACATTAAGACAGTACTGACCATTGTCAAAAAGTGTAGCACACAAAAGAAATGTCAAGTTAACGAGAACAGCCCAGCTGCCCTGCACGTCCAGATTCCACTGATAAAAGGATTAGATAGTGCTAAGAAAAAAAACTCTTTTCCTGAGCAAAACCATATTACAATAGTTGGAATAAATGACATAATTTCAATAGGGCAAGTTAGTTATCTTACCTCCTGGAGCAGTGAAAAGGGACAGGCTCATCTGGAAGTTTTTCTGAAGCCAAATGGAAGAAAGAAACCTACATCCACTGGCTCCCTTCTCTCCTGAAATACACTTGACCCACAAACCTCTCTGCCTTTTCTACCTTTTTTTTGCTGTCTGCGTTTGCTGCATGGCTGGCCACATCCACCTCTGTCACGTCTACGCCAGTGACTCCCTTCCTGCAGTGACTGAAGGGAGTCTCTCTTGGAGTCAAAGCAACGCAATACACTGACGAGAGCACTGGGAAAACATTGTGGAGTAGGTGAAAAAGGAAGCCTGAGGTGGACAGACACACCAAATGCTAAGTTTTTTTCTGCACAAGAACTGCAGAAGATGGTTAAACTTATAAATTATACTCTACCAGGCAGAAAAACAAACACACAATGATACACTCACATAAAGGTGCATGAAGCATGGATAGCTAGATGGTATAGCGAACTGGAGGTTCAGGTAAGCACAGTACAAACTGGCCCATGCTCTATGGAGGCAATCTCTAAAGAATGAGAGCTTTGCTTGAATAGAAATGATGGGACAGCTTCTGTCAAGTCAGCAGAAGTCCAATCTGCCCCCAGAAACTAAGGACTATACCTTTTAATGTGGATCAGGGCACAAAATGTTTGTTTTTTCTAGTTCATGACCCAGACTGAGCTGACAAGACCTCTACTTTGAGGAAGAGCAAGATAGGAGCTACTTTGGGAAAAAACTTCTCCAAGAAGTTCCTTTTGTCCATGAGCCAACCCTACTGGGAGCTGCAGTTCCAGAGCTGGACGTAAACAACAAGTGTCCAGCTGAGTGCATTAATAACTCAGCACGTATTCCTGTGAACCTGTGCTTCTGGAATTTATACAGGCCTCTGCTCTGAAAATTAAGAGTTGGATGAAAATCTTGTTATGGAAAAGCCTTTTTGACCAACCTCAAAGGAAATAATTTGAATGTTTCTAAGAGCTGCAGCACTGTGCAAATCATCCAAAACGTCTCCCAAACACTGACCTTTCAGCCCTCACAACATCCCTGCAGGGAAGGTAAGTGCTATTATATTAACTCAATCCAAAATATAAGGAAAGGGAAAAACAACCATGTTAAGTGACTTGCTGAGTCATTTGCACAGCTGGGAACAGCACAGTCCAGTAGCTCACAATAACCTAGAATTGTAGAGGGTTTTTGCTCCTTTCTTGTGTTAATACAACTAGCAAGGTAGACTCCATTTGCTAAGCAGTCCATCTATAACCTCTTGTCAATTAATCAATATGGTTACTTTATAAAATCCTGAAATACATGCAAATAACGTTGCCAGTAGAAACAGTTATGCAAAGCTAATCCTAAACTCAGAGCAATGGAAGAACCTCGACATTTGCCTGAAGCAGATGAACAGGCCCTTTATTGCACTGAGAAAAAACCCTAAAGCACACACTGAACTAGGCAAGTGAACTACACTCACACACAAAAAGTGGTGAAACCCTGGTAACTATTCTAAAAGCCTTTCCTAACACCCTCCTAGTCTTTTTTTCAGTTAATAGTTCGATTGCTATTATCTCAGGGTGATGTGTTGAGGAACTTTTATACTAATTTTTCAACCTCAATAGGCAGATTTTTTTTAGGTGGGGAAAACAAACTCAATTTTTATATACTGGTTACTAGCTAGATCCTGTAGGTATTTCCAGTACAGTGGCCTGCCAAATGGCTAACCCAGGCTGTAACTGCATTATCTCAGAAATGACCAGAGGATGGGACATGCCCAATTGCAGAGTGTCCTGGTAAAGTGAGAGTCAGACAATGTAAGCATGTGAAATAGGAACTATCCAGTTGGAAAACTAATGGAGAATTGTCTTAAAATATCAAAATATCAACAAAGTTTGTTCAAGAGACAGTAAGAACTTATTTCCATGCACTTAAAAAAAAAAAAAAAGATAAAAGAAAATCCCAAACGGTAGCAATTAACACCTAAAAGTGCTCTGCACAGGTCTGAGCTCACTGCCAGTCCTGGGGGCTGGGAGTATCAAGTTTGTTCCCCATGTCCTAAGATGTAACTCTGTCTAAATATATTGCTATGTCTCCTTATATTGCTGGCCCTGATGGAGTGGTCTACTTGGCTGAACATAGCACTAACAGACATGCTAGCCACTGAGACTGTAATTTCACTGGAATTTAGGCATCTGCTTAAAGTCAGAACTTAAGTCCTTTGCTAGATGGGGAGTTTAGCAGAAGGTAAATGCAGAGATCATGAGTTACTGACATTGTGCAGAACTGAGTAGAAATGTACTTAGTGGGACCACAGTGGACTTGTGCACTCAGGAGCAGGACCTCCAACACACATGGGCACTGCAGCATAAATCAGAAGTCAAAGACACAGAAATGCTGCCTCTCTGAATCTCCTCACTCGCATGCATTTAAGGTTCCAAAATGAAGTTAGTGGTGACTAAAAACAAAAATAATCAAAGCCTAAGGGGAAAAAAAAAAAAAAAAAAAAAAGACCCATATGAAATCACAGTTCTGGAGACCATGTTGAGACAGCAGACATCGTAGATCATTGTGTGTGACAGACAAAAAGGCTACCATCACCATCGCTTTTCTTTCATGTGGATAGACTTAGCACACCTTGCCCGTTGCCTCTGTGCACGTGCATATGCTTCTACCTCCCCCATGCAGGCGGGGAATTGCCTTGTCTTTTAGCAGGAAGCTGGCAGAAAGTCTCTCCATTTTCTGACTCCCACATCCACGGGGCTCCTGCCTCACGCTGCAGCGCCTGGGAGGCCCTTACCTTCCTCCAGAGGTCCTGTCTGCTCGGCAGCCGGCGATGGAGGCGGCGAAGGGGGCAGGTTGGCCGACTCTTCAACTGCTAGAAAGCAAAACAGGGACAAGGAGAAGCAGCAATTAATGCCCAGGGGGCCAAGGCTGGGTGAGAGCTGCGGGTGGCCTGTTCTGCCAAGCTGAGAGAAGCATTCAAAGCAGGGCTGTGGTTAGTGGGTTTCAAGACAAACACCCTTTTAAAATACCCACGTTTTTAAAGTTATAATAAAAGGATTTTGTTTTTCAGTTTGCACATGTGTTATTTTCAAATTTCTAGTCACAGAACATACAACACACACAAAAAAGTACAAGTTATCTTTTACATCTGTATTGGCATTTAAAAAAACTTGGTCAAAAGATGACAACAATAAAATATTGGAGGAAAAGAGACACAAATCCAGGCTATTCGTGTGGAACCATAAGAAACTGGTATCCAACTGCTTCGGTTCACCTTGAGCTGATGGACAAAAACATTCTGCAAGCTTTCTTTTTTCTGTTCCTCTATTCTGCTGAGTTAATGTTAACCACAGAATACATGCCAATATTCCTTGTCTAAATAAAAAAAGACAGTAGCTAGAGGTACCACTGCAGGCAAGGAGGACACGGCAGCAGGGAACCCATGTCAGCCATAACATGTTACTGATTCAGCTGAGAAAGGTGCTGTAAAATTGAGGCTCTGTACAGAAGGAAACTATCAGGCACCACATCTCCCTGCTGCACTTGCCCATCAAAATGAATTCAGTGAAGCAAAAGATCTTGGGCAACAATTTTTCAAGAAATGTTTTTAACCACTAATTGCCCTTCACCCATTTGTAAGCGGAGTCCAGCTGTCCCTCCTTCCCAGGAGGGAGCCCACAGGAACGTTACCGGGGGCACCATTTTGATTTGATCAGAGCACATGCTCGCTCAGCACAGCTCAGGCCAGGCTTTACAAGCCTTGCGCTACCTCAGGACTGAGCGCAACCTTTCTCTAGCCTTTGGTGCACAAGTTTTGGGCTACCATGGAACTTCTCTAGCAGGGAAGAAGGGCGTGTTACCTGGCAGAATTATTATATATATGCCATGTTTATATAAACTTACATTTCAAAGAAACTCCACAAAGGAGCCAGCTGCAGCACTGAGAGCACAGCAGAGTTTCGTGGCCAGCAGGACTGTTCTCAGGCTCGACTGGTCCCCGACCTTGCCCTGCTTGAGTGTCACCTCCTCTCCCACGCTTGTCTTACCATATTCCTCTCTGCTTCTTCCTGAGCTGCTCTTCCTTCATCTTTTTGAGCAGCCGCAATCCAATCAGCAAAATGTCACTGGCATTTTCCATGTTTCACCTCTAATCTCTGCCTCTCTAGACATCAATCTCTCTGTCTATGAGGCTGAACACACAGGGGCTCTGAGTGCTGCTGGATCCCACCAAACACAATGACAAAACTGCCACCAGTGCCCACATTTACAGATGCTCCACTCAGACGTTGGAAACCAGATAGGGAACTGTTGTTAGGAGCCCACAATGCATGAGACAGCCAAAGGCACATCGTGAACTGGAAAGCAGGTACCACTGTTAAAAGGAGTTTCCAGGACGTATCCAGCAGCGCTCAAGTTTACCCAAAACTATGAGCTACATGAACACTCAGTTGCCATTTCTATGCATAGGTAGGTCTAATAACATTTGCAGACACAAGGATACTTCTACCGTTCTTCATGGTGTTTTACCTAAAGGTGGTGCTCCGGGCTGATCTTTGTGCTGGGCTTCTTTTTCCTGTTCGCCTTTCAGGACTGCTACAGCTTCAGCTGTTACTACTTGCACTATCCTTGCAGACACTTCTTCTGCAGCAGTAGCAAAATTAATAAAACAAAGAAATGTAAGTTAATGAGAAAGCTTCATTTTTAATTACGAGGATTAGCTTAAATTAAAAACAATGGAAACTGACATAATCCAGTTTTAAAATGCAATCCTTTTACTGAAACATAGGTAAATCATGAAAAACAAAATAAAAGGACCAAATTTTTCCAAAGATAATCAGTAGAAAACGCTGCGTATTTATGAAAGCCAGGACCTGAGCCTTTGCAGGAAGATGCATACTGCATCGTTAGTCAATGCTGTCTCTAAAGTCTCTTAAGGGAATGTGCAGCAAGCACAAAAATTACAGATGATCATTCATTAAATGTCTAGAATCTTTTTTTTTTTTCCTTCCCATTTACTGTTTTGCAAACAGAGGCAGAAAGGCACACTGAGTAATGGCACTTACTGACATTTAATACATGGAGATCTTTGCATCCTTACATGTGCTTTGGCTGCTAATTCTTCCCCATCAGCATATGATTAGCATGCATTAAAGGCATTTCCCAGACAGACATCTAAGGCTATGCTGATGAGGGACTTCAAACAGAAGGGCCAGATAACGTTTCTATATGATTAAGACAAAGTAATTTGTCTCCCTCACCCTTTTAAGTCTGCCACATAAAGCTTGATTGAAGCAGCGGGTCTGAGCATTTTGCCAATGTGCTGCAGAGGGCACCTCTGGGGCTCGCAGCACCTGCCTGGCGCCAAGACGCCGCGCGCGTATGCCGTGGCCCCAGGCGCGAGGGGACCTGCCCCGCGTGCGAGGGGACCTGCCCCGCGCTGCCTGCTTGCTGGTGGCACCAGGGCCCTCGCGAGCAGGAGGGCGTCAGCTCTGGGCCCTTTGCCCAGCACACAGCCACGCGAGCGGCCACAAGCACAGGGCACCAGAGAGGCTCCCCTTGGCGCGGGGCCACCTCCAACGCCCCTGTTGCTGCAGCCTCCTGGTGGAGGCAGAAACATCTAACTCACCCTGCAATACCCCCCTCTTCCGATGAGCCACGACAGAAACCCCATTAGTCACCAGTGGCAAGCACAAGGAGGGCTCCACGTGCTGTCCCATCACTGCTGCCTTCGGCAAGCAGCAGCTGGAGCGGGGAAGTGCAGCACCAGCGCCCTGCATGCAGCTCTACAGCAACCACCCGGCCATGCAGCCCTCTCTGCTGCATTAGCAGCAAAGAGCTCTTCTCACTCCCGCACAAGTCCTTTTCTCTTATTTAATATAAGGTTAATCCTCCTCCTTTGTTCCCCAGCAAATGAAGCACGGTTGTAAGTTACTTGACTTTCACAGTCACACTTGCCTAAAAACAAAATGCGACGTTAATCTCTCTTTTGCATAAATTGAATATGTAATGAGGTATTAAAACACACTGGCAAAGAAGGTTTCCTTTATAATAGTGTGTATTTATATCTTACAATTCACTTCCCTCTTGACTGGTAGCCAGGAGGGCAGTGACTGCAATGCAGTTCTCTTGGCTGCAGCCAACAGTGAGCAGTGGTGGATGAGTATGTCAGAATCACCACCAAATAGTGAAAAAAATCATCTGTATTCTTGGGATGTGTGTTATCCCAAGAATAAATGAGCATAAATTTGCCAGGAGTGAATTCTAGCCAGAAAATTGAAGATATTTTCTTACTGTCAGAAGAGTGAAGTTCCAGAAACTTTTTCCAAATAGCAGGAAGAAAAACAATTGTTTGAGATGGACCTCTTACATTCATGAAAAAGGATCACACGAGACAGATGCCTGCATTAGATTAGTCATGACAATGCTCATTTTTCCCTCCTCTAGACAACGTCCCCAAATCACTGGATGAACCTTCACTTCATGGTTTATCAAGCAGCTTACTCCCTAAATCAACTAATGCGCACAGTTAGGTTGCTGGACCAAAGGACAGCAGTGTTCATTGGGAGACTACCAGTCTTCCCTGATGCCCTTCTGGGACATGGCTGTTAGGAGAATAATTTTTTTAGGCTTGTTTTCACATGAAAATTTTAAGAAAATGCCACAATTAGTTTCTCAAACACAGACTTTAATGTACAGCAGGTGACGTATCCTTGACTATATCCAAAGGAGACCTAATTGGTCATCTCCTCTCCATCACTTGAGCTACTTTAAGAGTCATTTAAGATGAATCCCTACTAAAATGATAATCTTTCTACGGAATTTCAACTTGTTTACAATCAAAGCTGGTTCTAGGGTGCAAACAGACTCTTCAAAGGCTAGAAAGCAGTTCCCACCCTCTCGGCAATATTTCTGACTTAATTTGCTGGCAACAAAGATAATGTTCAACAGAGAAATAGGGCTGGGGGTGGGAGGTTACCTCCTGAAAAATGGAAATTTCAGAATATCCAAAATAAATACATAAAAATACAAGTAGCCTCTGGGGATTTTTATCAAGAAAGGCTCATTTTTGAGCACTCTGTTGATGGATATTTTGGGTGACACGGGAGGCACAGGCAGTTCGCCAGAAGAGCAATGTTTTTGCCCTACATGACTGCTGCAAAAGGACAGACATTTTTGTACTAATGGACACTATAAATAGCAGATCCAATGGGTAAGTCAAATCCTCACAGGGCAGTTATTGAGACTCTTCAGTTTCCTTATGGTTCAGTTAAAGTTCAAGGAAGCCTAATGATAAAGAACAAAAAAAAGGAAAAGTAGAGTTAGCTAGTCTGGATGCCAGGCAAATTCTTCACAGACCAAAAGCTTTGGTTTCACTAAAGATAGTTCTGTTTGTGGAGATTCACTTCCCCTCCATTTAACCAGGTAGACATCCTCTGACACTACTCTGCGTCACAAAAATAGCACTAACAAATGACTAGTAACACCAAAAATAGGTGTCTTAACGGTGATGTGACCTTGGCTTCACGCGTGACTCTGGCACAAGAAAAGAGCAGCCCCCCGCATTGCTTCTCTTTGGCGTCTTTGCAGAGAGCAAAATGCTGCTCCTTTCCACCAAGCTGTTGGCTTTTACAGTACAAGACAACAGCTGGGAGTGCCCCAGTTTCATCTGAGGGAGCGGAGTGCAGTACAGGTTACTTTAAAGCAGAGAGAGGGGGAAGAGAAAGATGGACCTTGAAATGAAGTCACCAGAGCAATCTGTGCACCAGCTGAATGGGTTTCAGTTCTGTGAACTTACTCCTCAACTAGAGTAGAGAAGACCTGTGGTACAGGATGGCAGTTGCAGCAGGATTACCTCTCGGTGACAGCCCAAAAGGCAGCCCTCAAATGTGAACTCCATAATGGAGAGAAAATGCTGTGAAAGATCCTCAGAGAGAGCTTTAAAAAGCTCCTTGAGAATGGGCAGGCTCAGCCAAGAGGCCAGGAAGTCACAGACACAGACATTAGTGTCTGCTTCTCTTCTGCTTCTCTCCTAAAGGTTGTCACTTCGGATCAAGTCCTAACTATGTTGCCAGGTCCCATGTACCCAGTTGCTCCTAGCACCATAGCCACCGTCTTGTGGGGAAGAGAGGCTGAGAGGACAAGCAGGCATCCTTCTCGACCACTACATTTGTGAAGACCAAAAATAAAACTCAGTAAAAAAATAAAAATCAGTAAGTACCCTTACTGATCTTCTGGTCTTGGAAGCCAGCCTGATTTGTTTATAATCTTATTACAAGCACCAACCACCAGGGTGCCAGACTGGGACACAAGGAGCCCCTCTGCCTCATGGGGAGGTCAGGGACAAACCCTTTCCGAGCAGCAGAATGTGCACAAGATGCTGGAGAAGACACTGATGGCACAGGGAGCCACGACCTTTCCTCTCTGCTGGCTTTAGCAGGCCTAGCAGCTCCAGAGGTTTAGGTCAACACTCTGCGTGCCCCCAGAACAGCCCTGCTGGGATCCAACCCATGTGCTGCACATGGTGATACAAAATTGGCAAGGACTGGCTCCGGGGCCCTGGCCTTTTCCTCTCTAAGGCAGCTCAAGGAAAGATGAACAGGGGACTTTCCACCATCTCCTAACCCAGGGCTGACAGTCCCTTGGCTTACCCAAGGGCACAAGCGCTGTCGAATCCTCACGCAGGCCTGTTCTGGCATGACCATTTAAACTGCAGTAGGAGTCACTCAGACCTCTGAGAGATCGTCCTTCATCACGGGAGACTGCCAGCGGAGAGAGACGCTGTCAAAGCAAGGTTGCAGACCGGAGCCCAAGCTCTGGGCGCAGGTCCCATACACAGCCAGGATGCGGTTTAAAAGCCCTCTTTGGTTTCTTATTGATGATTCTGCTTGTTGTCAACAGACTGCACATGCCTCTGCTGTCTCCCAGACCCATTACCTACACTACTTGCATGTCCCAAGACACCTTTCCAGCCCATTAAGTCTTTTCACACACAGTTTTAGCAGCCCCACTGACAAACACATGGGTGCTGACAGGAATCTTTAAAGAAGCTTCTGAGCTTTCATCAAACATTTCCAGCAAATTGTTACAAGTAAGTGGCAACTGCAATGGCAAGAGCCAAAATCAGGCTTGTGATAGATCTCCACAGTAATGCATAGCATGTCCTCTCCTTTCATGACCTTGCAAACTGCTGTCTTTCAGCCTTGGGCACTTTTTCTCTCCCTCGCTTCAAACCTACAATAACCTCAGGCTCAGCCCACAGAGGAGCTGAGTCAGCTACGAACGCCACTTTTTAAGTGAAACTGCTCAAGCTCAAATATTTGCCTCAGAGTCCTCAACCACAGCAGCTTTCAGCTCTTCCTGAATTACAGCAGAATCACCCCTTATTTTTCCAACGCTTCCTGTGTCTCACCAGTGGCTCTTGAGTTTGCTGTAGCCCATGGAAGATGCCATCTGGTTTCTGCAAGGCAGAACTTGTTTAGGGCATAACCAAAGTTTAATGCGCTGGAACTGCAGGCACAACAAACGCTCCAGGAGAAAACTGCAGGACAGGGATGCCAGGAAGGCAGCCAGAAAGGAGGAGACTGAAAATTTCACACTCATTTGCAGTGTCACCCCTCAGACCCCAACCAAGAAAATTAACA